CGGATGATCACCTGTAATTTTGGTCCACACGCGAGGGCACGTATTAGAGGCATGTGTGCGAGAGGAAGCTTTTCTATTGCATGTGCCTTCTAATAAATCAAGAATACAACAAATATACAATCGTTTTATTACGAATTCGACACATTCAATCCTAAAACATTTGTTGATCCATAAGAAAAGGTACAATATCATCATTATCTATCTATCTATCTATCTATCTATCTATCTATCTATATCTATCTATCTATCTATCTATCTATCTATACTAAATATTATGGCTATTCAAAAATAACTTCTTGACACATAAGCATTTGGTGAATGCACAAGTTTCCAAGGTGGACAATTTTTTTTACAAACAAAAAACTATTTATTGACCTATTTATGAAGCTATCTCTCTCTTCTTTTAATAATTCTACTAATTTTTACTATGGCTATTCAAAAATAACTTCTTGACACATAAGCATTTGGTGAATGCACAAGTTGCCAAGGTGGACAATTTTTTTTACAAACAAAAAACTATTTATTGACCTATTTATGAAGCTATCTCTCTCTTCTTTTAATAATTCTACTAATTTTTACTAAAATTAAAACAAGTTAATTTTTTAGGAAACATTTTTTTTTTGAAAACATTTAAACAAACAACACATACATAAGTAATCATCTTTTTTTTTCAATTAAACAAACTATAAAAATGGAAACAGAGAGTGATATATCGTATTTGTTTAACCCAAGTTGATTAAGTAAATTTTTTACTCATTTTTACTAAAATTTAATAATAAGTTACATTTTGATGAAGCAAAAAAAAAAGCACACACATAAATAATAATATTTTCAATTAAACAAAATTTAAACGATGGTCTAAGAGAAAACAAGCGTTTGATAATCAATCGACTTTGAGAAATGATCGATTTGACTATATGTTTTTTTGCTATCAAACACTCACTTCTTTCTAATGTATATACCTATTAAGTAAAACAAGTATAAATTTTATATAAAAATGTTTGTATATAAACTTGACAGAGCAATAATTGTTATTTTTAAAAAAACTTATTATTTATTACGATTAAATAAAAACATATTAATTATTAATGCAAAATTTTAATTTGTTTCTGTCCCTTTTCCCATTTTGATGGTCTCACTAGAAATAAAATCCAACTTTGAAAATAAGAAATCAAGAAAGTAAGTCAACCAACATAAAAATAAACAAAACCCTCTTATTAGTTGCTATTTTTTTTAGATGTCTAATATTTGTATTCTCATAATTTATAAGGAAGGAAATGGTAATGCATATGATTTTTCTTCTTCTTTGTATGAGAATAGGATGCATGAGTTACAAGAGGCAACAATTATATGACAAAATTTTGAGCAGTTGTCGAAAAATGTTCATCTGATCATTGTGAAGATGAGGTGAACCAAGCCGAGGGTTGTCGACTGCTCCCTCTTCCTCCTTGATCTGAAGCTGGCAACTGGTCTCACACTCTCACTTTCTCAGCGATACGTTATTGTTTGCGGTTGACTGGCCGAGTTATACTCTTCTTCCCATTCTTTTCTTAATTTCTTCCAAATTGTAACTGCTGGATGGTAAATTTTCCCACTCTCGATGAGTGAATGTATTTCTTCTTTGTTTTTCAAGGAGAAGGGTCATCATATACTTTTATTTAAATATATAAAATATAATTAGAAGGGTTCATTGGTTGGACTTAGGGCATACCTCATTTGATTGAATAATTGATCGTTTTCTTGAATGCCTATTGCAACCCGATTTCTTGAATGTTGAAATATAAAGAAGAGTTATGAAGCTATCTCTCTCTTCTTTTAATAATTCTACTCATGTTTACTAAAATTAAAACAAGTTAATTTTTTAGGAAACATTTTTTTTTTTGAAAACATTTAAACAAACAACACATACATAAGTAATCATCTTTTTTTTTCAATTAAACAAACTATAAAGATGGAAACAGAGAGTGATATATCGTATTTGTTTAACCCAAGTTGATTAAGTAAATTTTTTACTCATTTTTACTAAAATTTAATAATAAGTTACATTTTGATGAAGCAAAAAAAAAAAGCACACACATAAATAATAATATTTTCAATTAAACAAAATTTAAACGATGGTCTAAGAGAAAACAAGCGTTTGATAATCAATCGACTTTGAGAAATGATCGATTTGACTATATGTTTTTTTGCTATCAAACACTCACTTCTTTCTAATGTATATACCTATTAAATAAAACAAGTATAAATTTTATAGAAAAATGTTTGAATATAAACTTTACAGAGCAATAATTGTTATTTTTAAAAAAAACTTATTATTTATTACGATTAAATAAAAATATATTAATTATTAATGCAAACTTTTAATTTGTTTCTGTCCCTTTTCCCATTTTGATGGTCTCACTAGAAATAAAATCCAACTTTGAAAATAAGAAATCAAGAAAGTAAGTCAACCAACATAAAAATAAACAAAACCCTCTTATTAGTTGCTATTTTTTTTGAGATGTCTAATATTTGTATTCTCATAATTTATAAGGAAGGAAATGGTAATGCATATGATTTTTCTTCTTCTTTGTATGAGAATAGGATGCATGAGTTACAAGAGGCAACGATTATATGACAAAATTTTGAGCAGTTGTCGAAAAATGTTCATCTGATCATTGTGAAGATGAGGTGAACCAAGCCGAGGGTTGTCGACTGCTCCCTCTTCCTCCTTGATCTGAAGCTGGCAACTGGTCTCACACTCTCACTTTCTCAGCGATACGTTATTGTTTGCGGTTGACTGGCCGAGTTATACTCTTCTTCCCATTCTTTTCTTAATTTCTTCCAAATTGTAACTGCTGGATGGTAAATTTTCCCACTCTCGATGAGTGAATGTATTTCTTCTTTGTTTTTCAAGGAGAAGGGTCGTCATATACTTTTATTTAAATATATAAACTATAATTAGAAGGGTTCATTGGTTGGACTTAGGGCATACCTCATTTGATTGAATAATTGATCGTTTTCTTGAATGCCTATTGCAACCCGATTTCTTGAATGTTGAAATATAAAGAAGAGTTGTGATGGTTGTTTATTATATTTTATGTTCATGATTGACATGCTACTAGCTAGCAATACAATGATGATCTGTTTAGTAATTTTTTTTTCCAAGTAATGTCAAGAGAGAACCTATACAATCTACCAAGACCCTGCCCAACCCATTACATTAGTGAAGCCAACCAACAAAGACAAAGGCGCACAACTCTAAAGGGGAGAGTAACAGGGCTTTCAGCGCCACTCTATGGGCAGCCCTGTTAACAGTCCGAGGAACTGCCCTAAACTCTAAAGAAACAGAGACAGAAGACAGGAGAAGGAAGCAACCCGAAGCACCGAACCTCCAATGGAGTCTGAGAGAGCACCTTGACGAAGCTGACGAATCACCACCTCTGAATCTCCTTCTAAGATGACCCGAGGCAGAGATTTGAACACCAGAAGGAATATGGCGTCTCTAGCAGCTAGGAGTTCCGCAAGGTAGGGATCACCAATACCGGGGTGAAGAAATCCTATTGCCAGAGCCACATGCCCGTCTGAACTTCGCACCACTAGACCAGACGAGCACTCAGAAGGACGAACAGCAGCACCAAAGTTGATCTTCAGAAAACCATCAGGAGGAGGGGACCAAGACGAGCGGCGAGAGCAGGAAGGCTGGGGCGGAGGAGCAGGGACCAAAGGCAGGGAGGAAGACAGAGCACGAACTTGGAAAAAACACTGACGAGCGAGAGACTGGGCATGAGGCTGGATATGCTCAAAGACCACCTTATTTCTAGACTTCCAGATCCTCCATAATACACAAACGTATAGGAGAATATGGGTTTGGGGGTGCTCAGAAAGCATAACATGTCGCCACCAGAGACTGAAGTTCACAGTCGGGGCCGAGGAAATGAAATCATTTAGACCCATGAGCGACCACAATCTTGTGGCCAAGGGACATTTGAAGAACAGATGTTCAAGACTTTCCGGGCTTCTCCAGCAAACTGGGCAACGACTGCCCAGTTTGAGACACTGCCAGATGAAGAATATGAGTTTTTGAGGAGTCTCGATGACCCATGTCTTTGCCAAATGGGAGTATCAATAATATGAGCCAATGATTTCCTATTTGGAATTAATGACAATGTAGCTAACTAAGAACTTAAATGAGCCATTAGCCAATTATGGGTTTTATTGTGCTAACGTGGACATACAATTAAAGGCAAGTAGTCCCACCACCATCGATGTCTTTCCTGCAAAAAATCTGCCAATTCATGCTGCCTAGATGGTAAAGACTAAAGAGGCTCTCTTTCCTCTATCATCATGAATCCTGCAGTAATCAGAGGGGATTATCAATAAAAGATTAATTTCTATTTAAATGATTCCTAATAATTCTCACCCCAAAATTGGGTTTTGAAACGGTCAATTTAAGACCAATTAGCGCCATTAAAAGGCCGCTTTAATGACTCACTAGTCATTGATAACGTCTCATCGGAGACATTCCAGAGTTGAGGCCGGCCGCTCACCGGCAAGGGATCCATCAAAGATTTCTGGTCGCCGCCTTGGCATAAGAACAACGCCGTCAGGCAGCGTTACCTACAGACCCAATACTGAGAAACAATCCGGTGCCGGAAATGATGTGACTCCTCCGGCCCAAAAGCAGAGCCATGCGCGTGTCCATGAGTCGCGTAGGTGTGAACATGAACATGCCCTTCATGTTCCGCCGCTATCCCTTCCAAATCCAATTCCCCACTGCTGTCATTCCCACTCCCAACCACCGGCAGCGCCTTGTTTCGTATTGCTGAAATGAGACCGCTTGTAATAGCTTGTCGCGAACGTATCGATCATCATCGTCATCACCGCCGCCACCATGGCGAACAGCCCGGGGAACGGGAACCTCGCCCATGGGTTCTCCTTCATCCAACTTATATATAGGTGAAAAATTGGTGCTCCAACCTTTAGAATTAGCATCACTTTTTCCTTTCTCCCTCACAGCCATGGCACCAACAACATCATATTTCTCCCCATCACTCTTCTTCTTCTTCTTCTTCCTCTCCTTTGCCCTCACATCATCATCATCCCATGGCTCGTCGACAATCACGACTCACCTCATCCACCGCGACTCCACATTCTCGCCGTCGTACGACGCCGCCGAGGCGGTGGCCGGTCGAGCCGCGAGGGCCGCGGAAGCTTCACTCGCCCGCCACCGCTACTTGTCCACGCTGAAGGACATGCCGCGCGACGTGGAGGCCGGGCTGGTCCTGGCCGCGACGGTCAACCTGTTCTACGTCAACTTCTCGATCGGCGACCCGCCGGTGCAACAGCTGGCGGTCATGGACACGGGGAGCAGCCTGACGTGGGTGAAGTGCCTGCCTTGTAGTCCGTGCACGCCGGGCGGCGGGGCGGCGACGGCGTTGTTCGATCCGGCCAAGTCCAAGAGTTACTATGCGCTGCCGTGTACCGACGACAACGATTTTTTCAATGATCCATGTTCACTTTCCCTAACATGATTATAGACCCGTTCTTTAAGAAATTTATGCCAACTAGTGGAAAGTTAATCTCATACCTTCTTCTCAATGGGAAAAAAAAAACATAAAACAAAGTCCATCTGTTTAGTAATTAGTAGGTAGCAAAGAGGTTATAAGTAGAAGGGAACATAATTGGGGTTTTATAAAGGTCGCGAATAAGAAAGAAAATGATAATGTTGGTTTCTTGGTTGTCTATTTCGATATTTTTTTAATTTCTACATGTTTGCGGTGACATTTGTTTGTTTTATTAAAGTGAATTTTTCCGCACTAAATCCCTAACTAAAGCTTGATTTTGACATGATTGTTTTCTTACAAATTACTATTTGTATTGATGCATATATTCAGTTCACAAATGAGAAATCTGCATGATAAAATGAGTTGAGTTGTATTGAAGACTACTCCTTTCATTATTTTCCTATGTTGTTATTAGGTAAAAATCACAATTCTTTTCTGCAGGAGATATGTAGCTCTCTACAAAATATAGATTTTATTTAAGTATATGCAGTTTAATTTGCTGAAAATATTGCTTTAATAAGTTTATGACAGCTGATAGTTTTCTTTGTGGTTGGTTTTCTAGAACTTTTCAATGTAATTAAACGAGTACGTGGAAGATTGATGGATGTGGATGCTAATGAGTTTCCTCATTATTTCAAAGTGGTATGTGTAAGTAATAATACACGATATTCATGGGATTTAGATCAGAATATTCTCTATTATCGTATACCGACATATGACAAGGGAGAGAAAATAAAAAGCTCTTCGCTTATTTTTTATTAATTGAAGCATATTTTCTTATTCTAACTTCTTCTTATGTGGCTGTAAATTTTTTAACTTCTTTATCGCGTGCTAAAGAATGAATAAATCTTATGTTTATAATCTTAAAGGGCGATTTCGATAAAAAAAATTCTAAATCAATAAGAAAAATCTACAAAGAGGTCAGTTAATAAAATTAAAATGTTCATAAATAAACAAAAAGTATAAAAGTATGAAACAATACCTGAAATAAGGTAAGTGGGATTTACAATTTCATATATATTACCTTAACAAACATAAATAATAATAACAATTAGAATACTATAACGAATTATAAAATAACCAAACAAAATACACCGCCCAACGGGCGGGTAAAAAACTAGTTTTTAGTTTGAAACATTACCCTTATGTATAGTTTGCCTATTTACATTTTGGTGATATGGATCTTTTCGATATTTTTAGAAAAATACATGGTCTTCTAAACTATACCCATATTCATTCTCAAATAATCAAACTCATACCTACATCATACTCATACAGAGGAGGTTTTGCATCCTCATCCTCATACCCACGATTTTCGAATACCCGAAGGTGATACACGCATGTACATCTAACATTGCTATATCTAGAATTTAACATGTAGATCTTTAATTATAACACTAAGCGAACCTAATAAATCAAGAATACAACAAATATACAATCATTTTAATACGATTCAACACATTCAATCCTAAAACATTTGTTCCATAAAAAAAATACAATATCAATCATAATCATTCATCTACAACTCTGACACATTTATTGTGAAAAAATAACTAACATAATCACATTGAAAGGGAGAAAGAAGTGAAGGTATGAGGCGAGATTTCAAGGGAAAGATGTTTGCTTTGAATGACTAATCAATTACATTATTATTTTTTCAAATTATTGTTCTTTTCATTGATATATTAGAATTTGATCTCTCAAAATTTTATATTTGAATAAGTACTATTGATGGGGCTGGGTATTGGTATGGGGTGATAGCATCTAAAATTATATCCACCCATCAAACATTTTGCGGGTTTTATCCATATCCTTTACATACCTAGCCAAGAGCCAAGCAGGAATTCTCCGTGCTAACTGGGTCAAGGGTTGTTGGGTACCCACAGTAGCGAGTTTTATTGTCATCCCTACTTTCCACCTATCTTACTTCACGAGACTATTTTCTATTATTAATTAAATAAATTTGATTTTTTTCCCTTTACCAACTAAAAAATAATGTACTTCATACAATTTTTACTATTGATTATGTCATTACCATCATTATACAGATTCAGGATCCACCTTCGAGTTGCAGACAAACTAGCTCAGGTTGACTTTGTTGTTACCGATCTAGTGAGCGGTTAAGTTTTCGGAATGTCGGCTAAGAGACTATTCCAAGACAACAATGGCATGAGAGGACTACCACCTACTCATCTCCTACAACTAAGAGAATGACGTTAACGTTCAACATCAAGCTCATAGATTACATCTCTAACCCAACAAGTGAGTACACAATTTCCTAGATATGGAAGGATGAGGAAGAGCATAACTCCAAGGAAATGCATGAAACAAGGAATGGATTATTGAAATGCAAGAAAAGAAGGAAGAAGAGTCAATTAATATCAGAGATAAATGTGTCATTGATGGAGATGAATACATTATTACTGGTGGAGATGACAATGTTGTTTATGGCGGAGGAAACACAAAATGAAGAGTTTTCAAAAAAAAAAAAAAAAAAAAAGGAGTCGGCTCCCTAGCATGGGGTCTGTCTTTCATTTTTTTGTAAAAATGATTTTACTCGATGAGTAAGTTACAATTTCGGAAAATACTATGATGTTGATCCTTTTGAATGGTTGAAGTATTTTTATTTTTTTAATAATTCCGACTCCTTTATGTTGCCAATTAATTTGAATGTTCAATAATTTAATTTTTTTAGATTTTCTTATACTATCAAATACATGCGTATATCATATACAATTTGCTATTGTTGTTTACGTAATTGACCACTGTGTGTGGCCAGCTGACCGGACCTATAACTTGTTTTATCTTAGGATCTGTAACAATCTGGATCAAATAGTCATATAATCAATGCATTAGTAACTAATTAGCAAAGTAACTAACTAGCGAAGTCAAATTCCTAAAACATACGAGACGACAATAACAAAACAATAAGTGAAACCAGCTAACCACAAATTTCTTTCAAGATAGCTCCTCCATTTGCATTGATCAATAATTGACCTTGCAGCAGTGAATGGGCACTTCTGGGTTTGTATTTGTAGTTGAGGCCCAAAAACATGCAATCAGGAAGATTCTTTTGACTCTTTTCTAAGCCCACGGCCCAAACCCACCCATCCCCTACCAAATGATTTTTTCATTTTGTCAGCTTCAGTTGTAGCAGGCGCTTTACGTGTTGTGTTGTTGCCTTGTTGGCATTATATTTCACAGTCGAATTTTGGAGTCTAAAATCTCAGTCTTGAAAGAATGATCTGCCCAAATACGTACGTGACAGAAATAGTACCATTACTTTAATTACAATACTCTTTCCAGAATAAACCATGCTATTAAGAAAAGTGCAGAAAATCCGGTGAGCTTGTGCGTTCTAGCTTTTCGCAAGATGGAAAGGTGGGAAAAGGAAGGAAAAGATGGAAGAACACGGAGAGATTAAGAGCTTTCAGCGATACTCTAGATTAAGTCATTCTAATCCGTATTGAGAAAAAAAAAACTCATATAATGAGTAATGACAATCAAAAAGAAAAAAAGTGTTCATATATGGGTACCTCTCATCGATCTGACCTGCCTCGACCTGTCCCATTTTTTACCCGTTCTTGCCTAAATTACATGTAATTTTAGTCAAATTATTTAAGATTTTCCTCTTGTTACCTCATATTTTAGGTATAATAAACTTGTAAATAAGTGTAAACCTTAATTTCTTCAATAATTTAACTACATTTGATCATATTATGGTTTCTTTCTTGATCTTATAATGAAAATAACAAATATTTCTAATAGTTTTCACATAAATTAGATACCCATTGGGTCGACCTGCCCCGACCCGCGCCCCGTAATAAATTACCCGACCTGGACCCGATCTGTCACGGGGCGAGTATGGTATCGAGATACGCGCTCCAGACCTGCCCATTGCCATTCCTGTCAGTAAGATACAAAATATATGCAACTTTTTTTTTATATTCTTAAATAAAAAATAGATGGAGAAACAACTTGAAAGTCCATATGCCGAACCACCTCTAAGAAAATTTATTTTGCCATATTATGTGCAATCTTTTTCTTCTTTCATTCGAAAACCGTCTGCTGAAGATTGTTTTGGTCACCTTCGACGTTGCTGTCGTGAATATACTAGGGGATTAAACTGAGTATTAGACATTTCATTTCAGACTTCGTTGCTAAGATTCGGAATAAGTAGTGGTGGGACTAAAAGAGCAGGTTGTTGTGTGGGTCAATGCCAGAAATACGACACCTTTTCAGCAAACTACACCCTTTTTGCTTTCCATGGCTGCTTTGGATTCCACTCGCGGCTGCATCTTTTTGAAGAACTAAACAAGATTGCTTTCTAGTTTCACCACTAAGTAACATTATTTTCGTTTGATTACTCTTGCCTTGCTGAGTTGCGTCTTCTCTTTTTCGTCTTTCTCTTCTTCCCTTTCCGTGCCCTTCTTGCTTCTTCTTCTTCGTTCTCCAGCCACCTTCATCTTGCATTTAATATCTACTCAGCAAAGTTGAAAAAAGGAGAAAACGGATGAGCATGTGAATTTGTTTATTATTAATTGAGCAGGGGAGCAGTACACAGAGAGATAAAGAGACCAACATTACATTAGCCTCTAAAAATCCCATTCTCTTCTTTCCCTGCTTCCTTTCACCAGTTTCCATGTCAGTTCTCCTTGTTTTCCTGTCTCTTCTCCTCCCTTATTATCTTTTCCATTACCATTTACCACTCTATCTCTGGTTTCTCCCTCTCTTGAGACCATGACGTTTCATTTGTTTAACTCACTACTCACTCTCTTCCATGCTCCTGGTTTTGCAGCAGCGGCGATTCTGGGTCTCTGGTGCTCTGTCCTCTTTTGAAGTTGAACAGCTGGGAAATGGAGTAGATGGGAGGGTATAGAATGTTGGGATCAAGCTGGAAGTGAGAAAGTTTGGATCTTTTTAACAGTTGGGCTACACCATTTTCTCTAACTTGAGAGGGTGAGAAGTTTTCACCTTGGATCTCTCTGGTTTTTCTCTTGGAGCTACTCAAATCCATGCAGCTCTAATGCCCACTGCTTCTCTTCTTTAGAACTGCAAAACCCACTTGGAAATTTTATTTTGTGTTGTTAATCTGTAAGTTAGAGGTTGTTTTGGAGCCCATTGGTCTCTTCTTCAAGAGGGATTCTTCTCCCTTTCTTCCCCCCTTCAAGTCCCACACTTGTTTGCTAAAATGGCATGCTAAAACTGTGAATAGCTCAGTTAGCCGGTTAGGTTTTGTTTTCTTTTTGCACTGAGGTACTTTCTATCTAAGATTCATAAATCATAACTAAGGGGAAAAGGGAGGTTTTCTCCAAGTATTCCTTTCCAACCTTGGGGTTGTATTTTGAAGGTTCAATAATATTCAGGAATCTCTTCAATCGTACCCTAAAAAGATGGGTTGTGTGGCATCAAGGATTGATGAGGAAGAAAGAGTTAGGATTTGTAAAGAGAGAAGGAAGCTGATGAGACAGTTGGTGGGATTCAGAGGTGAATTTGCTGATTCTCTACTGGCTTACTTGAGAGCACTCAGGAATACAGGTGTGACCCTTAGGCAGTTCACTGAATCTGAGTCATTGGATACTGAGAGCACCTCCTATGGCATTGGCTTGGCACTGCCTCCATCGCCACCACTTCAGTTGCCTCCTTCCCCACCGCCACTCCCTTTCAGTCCTGATTCAAGGAAGTCCAGCAGTGATAATAACCCAAAAGAAGAACAAGAACAAGAAGTTACTACCGACCACTTAGCTTCTCACGAAGAGAGCATGGCAATTGATGATGAGGGCGATAGAGGAGGAACTCCACCACCTCCTCCTGAGAGCTCATCATCGTGGAACTATTGGGATCCCTTCCTTGAGCCTCATTCTTTGCCGGATCACGAGGAGAGTGGCGAGATAGTGGAATCAGCAATGGAGGAGGAGACTTGGGCTGAGACCAAGACTGAGTTTGATGAGGAAGAACATGGAGGAGAGGAAGTTAGTGGGGCGGCAGGTCCCAGTAATACGGTTCCAAGTCAGCAGCAGCCGAGACAGCAGCAGCATTGTCGTCGTCTTCCTGTGGAATTGGTTGATGATAACTCATCCATGACGAGCTGGCAGACGAAGGACACTGCCGATATGAGTATGGTTCAGTGGAGGCGCAGGAAGACATTGGAGGCTATTGTGAGAGATTTAGATGACTATTTCCTCAAAGCATCAGCTGGCGGGAAGGAAATAGCTATTCTTATGGATATCTCCAGAGGGGACACTTCTCTCTCACATAGTTCCAGAGAAAACAAATGTAAGCATGCCAGCTCCTTCTAACATCCAGCCCCACTAATCGAATTTTGTTATTGGGAGCTTATGCTAACCCTTTTTTCATTATTATTGTATAGGGAAGAGGAGCAATTCTGCTAAGGTGTTCAGTGCATTGTCATGGAGCTGGTCTTCTAGGTCATTACAGCCACCTAGGGACTTCACTGAGGTCTTTAGTACTAGTGAACCTTGCAAACCTGGAGCTCACTGCATTACCCTTGAGAAGCTTTATGCTGCAGAGCAGAAACTTTACAAGGAAGTTAAGGTATGCGCAAACGTTTATGATATCCACAAGGCAATAAAATGGTCTCTGAATGGTGTGTTTTCATGTGGCTTTTTGGTGATTATTCATTCTGTGTAGGAAGAAGAGATAACCAAATTGGAGTTTAAGAAGAAGTCCATTTTACTAGCAAAACTAGAACAAGAGAACCATGATTGGAACAAGTCGGAAAAGATTAGATCAAGTGTTGAAGAGTTGGAGTCGGACTTAAGAAGACTCCAACATTCTATAAGTGGAGGTTGTTCTTGCATATTGGAACTCATTGATGTGGAGCTGTACCCTCAACTCATTGCATTAGTTGCTGGGTAATAATCCGTGCTTGTCAGAGATACTAATTTCTCTGAACAATGTGCAATGAAGTACTGATTTGATGATACAATCTTTCGATTTGATTTTGGTTCACCAGGCTGAAGAGCATGTGGAGGACAATGTATGCATGTCATCAAGTTCAGAATCACATCTCCCAACAAATGAATCACCTAAACGATAATCAAGGGGTGGAATCAGCAACCGAGTTCCATCGCCAAGCGACAGCTCAGCTCGAGGCCGAGATTATCTCATGGTACCACAGCTTCTGCAGACTTGTGCGATCCCAAGAGGAATACGTGACGACCCTATGCAGGTGGGTCCAACTCACTAGCTGCCTTGTGGATGACCAACAACCACCAAGTGCTCAATCACCTGCTGTTCACAAGCTTTGTGAAGAATGGAAACTCGGCTTTGACAAAATGCCTGACAAGGTAACCACCTCTAACAAGTCTTCAATTGCATAAGTGTTTCCAAGAGGTTGTGTAGCATTCAGGCCCCCTGTACTTTGTCTCGACTAACAAACAAGCTTCTAAACTTTCAATTTTAACCAACTTGCGCCCTTGATTAGTAAAGTTGAACTAAACACACCCTCTGTAATTCGTCTAGTGGTGGGCTCCTGACGGCTATTAGGAAGGTGAAAAAAATACTTCAAGAAAAGCTGTTTCTGCCATTCTGACCAAGCCCTTTCTGCAGGTGGCATCAGAGGCCATAAAGGGCTTTTTATCATCCATCCAAGCGATAGTGCAGCAGCAGGCAGAGGAACTGAGCCTGCAAAGAAAATCGGAGAAGTTGGAGAGAAGGCTGCAGAAAGAACTGATGTCACTTGCTGAAATGCAGAAGAGATTTGACTGGAGTATTCCTGATGGAGATGATGCAACTCCCAATCTGAGCCCTAAGCACCCTTTGTCTGTTAAACTTGTCAAAACTGAAGACTCAAAGAAGAGAGCTGAGATTGAGAAGGCCAAATATTTGAACTCAGTCCAGGTCACCCGAGCCATGACTCTGAACAACCTGAAAACTAGCCTCCCACTTGTATTCCAGGCGTTAACAAAGTTCTCAGGGGCTTCTGTCCAGGCACTTCGAGCTGTTCGAACCCACCAGGGTAAACCAGAAGTTCAATGTGATCCACCTGAAAACTCCATGAACCAAGGGTGATATAGTGAGCCAGAGTTCATGAATGTTCTTTGCAGAAGCCTTCCAAGCCATATATTGAGTGTAGAAATCCATTGGAAACTCTTCCATTATGTAAAAACTAGTATAATCAATGAAGACCAGATAGTTTGGTGACAGCCCACTGCTCAAAACTTCCATTACATTACACATCTGTTCATAGGGTACGCCTCTACGTTCATTCAATCAACTATGAAGTTGTAACAATCTAGTCTAGTAAGTGTCAAAGAAACCATTTTTCTTGCTGTATTCTAGTTTTTGTCAGTGTCCCAGTCCAGGGGCTCATTCTCTAATTCGTATGCTGAAACTGGATTCCTGTTCTAGCCAGCCTACTCATCGTTCCCCCAGAGAATGTCATTGCATCTCTGGAAACCAAACTTTGAAGATCATTTGTTGAAGCAGTGAGACTAACGGCTAATGCAAACTAAGCAGCAACTGCCTATCTCAAGGAAGAAATCTCAAGGAAGAAATCCATTTCCTCTGTGTCTCTAGGTTCTTGATCTTTTCATTCCAGTTAACCTTGCTCTCTTGGCACTTTCAAACACACAGTTGAGCAAGTATTGAGCATTGGCTGATCCAGTACTGAGCACCGTCTTGTAGAATGCACTCTCTTCATTCGACAGCAGTTCCTCTGGAGTTGCATGCTCTTTTACCTGAATAAGTGGAATGCACAGGAGATCCTTAATTTTCTAATTCTTATTCTTCTAGGAACCCAATTTGGCCTTTTATGTTTGGAAAAGAACTGCAATTTTATACGGGTAAATGCCACATTTTGTCACTGGAATTACTAAATCATGTTATATATAGTCACTAGAAAAAATTAGTATCAATTCTGGTCACTCGAATTACTAAAACATGTCATATTAACGGAGTTGGACGGAGGCTAACAGAGAGTGACTAAATGTGACATGTTTCAGTAATTCGAGTGACCAAAATTTATATTAATTTTTTCTAATGACTAAACATTTAGTATTCTCAGTGACCAAATGTGGCATTTACTCAATTTTATATTATAAAAAGAAATTAAATATTTCTTGCGTCTTCGAAAAGAATTGTGAAAGAGGGAACAAACATAGTGAGAAGACAAAGCAATAACAAATATCCAAGTTTTTCATTCCACCTATAAAATATGGAAATGGAATCGGACATATAATTTCATTTTCCTGAGTTTTAAATAGGTCGATCAAAATTCGAGCATGAAAAATCTTGATATGGGAACTTACCCGTCCATCATCAAGCACGAGAATTCTGTCGCAGTCGATGATGGTATTCAGTCTGTGAGCAATTACGAGCATTGTGCAAGACTTGAACTCTTCTCTGATTGTTTTTTGTATGAGAGCATCAGTTCTCACATCAACAGCAGCAGTAGCTTCATCAAGTACAAAAATTTTCGATCTTCGCAACAATGCTCGAGCAAGACTCAATAATTGTCTCTGTCCAACACTGAAGTTCTCTCCACCCTCCAGAACCTTTAGACAACCGACATTGAAGGTCAGTAGATAGTTCATTAGCATATAGCAGACCCTAGTTTAATAACTTTTCTCTATTTGCAGATTCAAAACTTTAATAATATTCTCTGACAGACACCTGCCATATCGTTTTGGACCTTTGGTATTATACCTCAGCATCCAGCCCAAAAGGATTGCTCCTTATGACATCCTTTAGATGTGCCCTTTCCAGTGCCTCCCAGAGTTCTGCATCATTATGTTCACTAAATGGATCCAGATTTAGTCTCACAGTTCCTGTAACCCCAAAAAAAGAAGAAAAAAAGAACAATTAGGACTTCTGACGATGTTAGAAATTTACTAATCCGAACTTATGATAACCCAAGTCATACAATTTTCCAAATTGGATAAGGACATAATCGTACTAGGACTCGGATTCCTAATCCACTTAAGGGAAACTAATCCCAGTCCGAGTAGAAGTCGGACTTAGATCTTCGGATCAAATTATGAATCCTTGTCTAACAAGGAAATGAATTCAGTTATAGTGCCTTTTGTACGATTCTAAGACAGCGATTCCAAAATGTCACTTTCGGCAAGCCTCTCATCATGCTGGTACTGACAATAAGGCTACAGACAAACTGTCTGGACAACATCAAATGTAGTGCAGACTGATAACTGTATGAGAAGGGCCAGTTTGGACTGTTCAGATTGCTTACCGGAGAAAATAACTGGTACTTGTGGTATGATAGTAACAACTTTCCTAAGATCCATGAGCCCAATTTTCCCAACATCACATCCATCAATCACGATCTCTCCCCTCTCCACCTCCACAATTCTGAACAATGCATTCAGCATGCTGGACTTCCCTGCTCCAGTTCTCCCAACCACACCAAGCTTCTCACTGGGAGCAACTACAAACGACAGTCCATGCAACACTGGTGGAATTTCTGCCCTATAACGCAGGACAACATCCGAAAACTCGATCGATCCTGATGAGGGCCAACCAGATGGTGGACGATTGCTCTCGATAACAGCAGGAGCCTCTGAGGGCAACTCCATGTAAGCACCCACGCGCTCTACAGCATTGAAGCTGTTCTCAGCTCGGCTAGCCTGCCTCAGAGCTGCGCTCAACAGGCTGGTGATGTTCAGAGCGTAGGTCAACAGTAGGCCCGTGGTAGACGCAAATGCAATCCTGTTTTTGGCCTTTTGATTCTCCAAGACAGCGAAGGTGGCTATCAACCAGATCATGACTGCTCCCAGTGTTTCCACTCTTATGGTGAGCCAGCGATGGGAGCTGATGATGACGAGGGTGAATCTCGTGTTGTTGTCCATTGCTTTGCCATTGATGTCGGCCATCCGATCATAGGCCTTGTATGCACGGATGCTGGACAGGCCATTGAGTGCTTCTCCGAACTGTGCATATACAGGTGATCTGGTTATGGACTCCAGGCGTTGCACTTCACGGGATGTTGTCTGCAAAATGCATACAACTGCAGTTATTGACATTTCTCTAGCAGGTCGTTTGATTGGGTGCAATGTAGTCAAAATTGTGCTTTAAAACTTGAAAGCTTACGCTCTTACACTTCTATGTCACCAAAACGTTTCTATGTAGAATCATGTTTTTCACTTACACGTGCAGTTAAAATCTACGCTTTAAAGCTTAAAAGCTTACGTTTTTACACTTTTAGGTCATCAAAATACTTCTATATAGAATCTGGATTTTGACTGCATTGGTTGGATGCATAAGAAATCATATGGGATTGAAAAAATATATCGTTTTTCTTTGACATATTTGAGTTTGTTTGAAACTGCATATCCCATCTCAAATACATCAAAATAATATTTCAAATCGGAATACCATAACCATCCCCTAGAAACCTAGATCATATAAATCAATGAAAACATACAGACATTTGAAGGAAGTAGAGCTTGCCTGATAGTATAGATAGGCAGAATAAAACAAGATGAAAGATGGCATTACAGCCCACAAAGACAGAGTGCTGACGATGGCTATCAAGGCAAATGTGGAAAGGAGCAGCCAGACTTGGTTCAGAAACATGTTGGCAAAGCCAGCAACGTTGTGATCTATTTCCCCAAGATCCTTTGCAAACCTGTTAATTACCCTTCCAAGCGGGTTAGTGTGGAAGAAGAGCATTGGAGCACGTAGGATGGTGTCTAGCATGGAATCATGGAGTCTTTTGGCTGCACGTAGACTTGCAATGATCAACCAATAAGAGGTTCCCAGTGTAAGACTTACCTGATACAAATAAAGAGCAGTGAATTCATAAACCATTCTAAGATGTGGGATGAGCAACTCTAAGGAAATTTATTTAATACTGTTGGGGGAAAAAGAGTAGGTGGATTAAAGGTTCTTTACAAACCTGGCACAGTGACAGAAGCGCATAAATGGAGAGGAAATACGGTAGATTGTAACTTTCTGAACTGCTTTGATTTGTCCAAATGCCTAACCATCGACTGCTTGAAACTCGAAGAACTTCAATCAATGTGTAGCATGTGAACAATACCATAACAACCAGTCTGCCCCCTAATGCAGTCGTGTACCTGTAAACAAAACCAAACATTAGCATACAGGATTTAATTTGTGAATGAGCTGTGCCCGACCTTAATCCACCACTATCATGAATCAACCATCTTATTAAATCAATTTTAGAAGTAGTTGGTATAACATGCAATTTAACAAATATATAGGTTTTTTCATTAATTTATAAACACACGGAATCAAACACACCCTTAATCCAATATAAATAGCAATTTAACTTTCACCTGTCCAAGACTTTCCAGCTGACTGTGCCAGTCTCCCTCTCCTCTTGCTTGATAAGCATTATCCCTCTGCCATCAGTATAGCCTGTATTCCGAATCAGTTCATGCACTCCATTAATTGTGGGTTTCGACCTTCCATGCTCCACATTTTTGTTGTTTTGTCGTTCTTCCGCCACCTCCTGTTCTTCATGCATTTCTTCCATCTTCCAAGCATTTTCCATCAACTTTTGGAATAACGTGCCACTTTTGGAGAGCTTCTCAAAGGTTCCCTCCTCCTTAACTGTTCCTTCACCCACAACAATGATCTTATCTACTTGAGGAAGAAAATGTAGCTGGTTTGTCACAAGAACCCTTGTTTTGCCTTGCAACTCTTTCTTGATGCATTTGTTGAATACCTGTAAGGGTAAGGCATATATATCTCAAGAAATGAATTATCAAACGCAATTGCTATCCAGCACGATGAGAGGAATCATGATGTTTAAATCCTACCTGGTGACCAACGTGAGCATCTAGGGCACTTAAAGGGTCATCAAATATGTATACGTCTGAATTGGAATAGAAGGCCCTAGCTATTGAAACCCTTTGCCTTTGACCACCACTGATATTCACTCCTCTTTCTCCTATCTCTGTGAGATCATGGCCCTGAGAAGAAAACAAGAGGATGTTAATCTAGGGCATTTGTAAAATAGGTGAAAAGATTTTGAAACTTTTCACTTAACAGGAAGTATGTTGAGATCATGGTGTAATGCAGACACATCAATTGTTCTCCAGTATCTCTCAGGTTCAAATGCAGATCCAAACAATATATTGTCGCGCAGCTGGGACGATGAACATATCAATGTCAGTGCTTGCTATAAACAGATACCGATAAAACAGAAAACAGGACGGTAAAACTCACAGTAGCATTGAAAATCCATGAAACTTGAGGAACGTAAGCAACAGTTCCTCTAATTACAACACTAGTATCTGCTACAGCAGGAAGTTCTCCAAGCATTGCTGAGACAAGCGACGTCTTTCCTTCTCCAGTCCCACCAACAATTGCAACTAAGCTTCCAGCTGGTATATCTAAATTGATATTTGACAATGTAGGCTTCTCTGCCTGAAACAAAGGCGAAGTTCAAGGGCACAACCCCTAAGCCACAGCAGACGAAACTAAGCATGTATTCCTAACTAGTAACTAAGATAATTGAACCTTAAACATGGTGCCATCTGTTTTTCATTGTTTCTAAATTAGTCACTAATAAGGTGCCTCACTTGGGAAGATCAAGAAAATATTCAAGTTGAGATCTACTTAATGCACTGACCTGTAAGCCTACTAAGTTCTGTTTATGGAGATAATTATGATCTAAACTTTTTTATCCATTCTTACTGACCCAGTAGTTTTGTACAACAGGGAATAATCATAACATCCATAGATGATCCAGAACCTATATCCTCTTGCATTCTTTTCCCTCATGTGAAACAACTTTATCTATCCATTTCTGGCGCGGGCCTTGGATTTTGTTTTTCAGTAATTGGATTTTTTGTACTCAGAAAAGAAACTAAATAGAAGTTGGCTTCTTGCTCGTTGGAAATTCACTTTTATGTTGTATCATAACATAATTGAAAACTGCATAAGCTAATAGAAAGAAAGAAATAACATAATATTATAAACTATTTCACTGACAACGACCAAAATTGATACAGAACAAGAGATAAACCTTTGACTCCCATGAAAAGTGTCCATTCTTGATAGAGATGGCTGGAACTCCTGGCTCAAGTTGTGGATTCAATGCCAGAGTCCTCTCTTCTGCCATAAATAGTTCCTCCAACCGTTGGATGGAGACATTTGCAGTTACAACCTTCAAATCGTTAGATAGTTCAGACGAATGTCCAGATAAGAAACACATATGCTTATAGGTGGCCAGAAAAAGTTGCACCTATTTCTCCCAGTCACTTCCATTCGAAATGTCTTGTAAGCAAGACTCTAAATCTTAATAGTAATAGACATGGCCTGATGAATTCAGAGCATCATTATTACCATCAAGATGATGTGTTGGTTTGTTCTTTAACCAATAACCGAAGTACCAATTCAGAGTACTAAACTCGAAAGAAGCAAACGCACGGAGAGTAAAGATAAAATTAGCAACCTGGCTTAATAAGTTAGGAAGCATGTTCAAAGGATATCGTAGCACTTGAAACAGAGAGAGGGATGTAAATGCCCTAGCAGGTGTCAAGTCTCCTCCAAGTAAAGTGAAAGTTCCAAATGAAACCAATGTCACAACAACTGGCATGCTGTTGAGCAGAAAACTATTGAACTGCAATAGAAGGCAACAAATCAAAATCATTTAAGTTAGTGTACAATATTATCAGATAAAAAATTATATATGTGGAGTGTATGATGGAAATGCAAGCTGGAATAAGAGTAGGAAGAGTGAGTGCGGGCCATACAGCAGCAAGCAACTGGGCCCTGCGAAACCGCAACAGTTCATCATCCCGTAGGCCTTGAACTCTATTCTGAAAGCTTTTCTCCCATGCATAACATCTGGATTTTTTTTTTCACGAGACCAAATCAGCAAACTGTCTTTAAACTAATGATACGGTTATAAGATTAATTAATCAAAGACATACTTCAAAGTTTCCATTGCTGCAAGGATTTCATTCATGAGGCCGACCCTCCTATCTGTCCTTTGCAATCCTTCCTTCGTTAGTTGTTTCATTTTGCTACTCACCACTGTCTATTTGTATTCATTGATAACGTCATCAGACAACTTTTTAAAACCAGACAATTGAAGGTAACAACATGAAGAAAAGAACTTTTAAGGATATCCTATTATTCATGATTAATAAAAAAATCAGCTCATTACCTGTACAGGGATCATGAGAATGAGGAGTAACAATCCAAGGAGAGAAGCAATACCCAATTGTTGGTAGAGAAGGATCATAGACAAGGTTATTCTGAATGGCGCTGACCACAGATTGTGAAGTTGTTGGCATATTTGCTGAAATGTCGCAATCAAAATATAACTTCCAATTTAGCAATGTTGATTGGTTGATGATTCGGGCAATCATTATTCTTGTCCAACAATTCACAAAGTCGGGTACCAGATTGAACAAACCTGGATTGTATTGACATCTGTTGTGATTATATTTGTGATCTTCCCAGTTGGGAAACTCTTGCGGGCCTCATGAGTTAGTCCCAAGGATTTTCGGAATATGGCAGCCACCTGCATTGCAAAGGATGATGTGTCGTCAATAAATGGATCTCATATTCTCATTTGGAAAAGAACCAACTTTCAAACTGGCAACCTTACCAGAGTTGACTTCAGGCGAAAGCCAGTGCGCATCACATTCTGAAAGTATTGAGGTTCAGTGACCACTCCGAGCAACTGAGTCAAGGCAGAAAAGTAAGCAACAAAAAAGAGATATGTGAGACACATTGAATGGCCTAAGAATTTACAAAATTCAATATCATAGAAACATAAAATTAATAAACCAATAAAAAATAAATAACTATTATCATTGAAGCATTTTATCCATCTTTCACGACTTACCCCAGTATTAGAGCCAGTAATTCATAGTTATTTCAGGTTCCATGCAGTTCAACTTCATAGTCTTCCTACCTCTTTCATTTAATTTGGTTGTGAACTCATGACCAAAGAAAGGACTATATCACATGACTCGGCAGCAGCATAAGCTGCCAAACGAATTGGGATCTACCAAGTAATGAAATGAATATGGAGTTTTGCCCTTTTATGTAATGTACTTGTCAGCAACAAAAGGTTTCTGCTACATTTGCAGTGGTCAACTTATAATATTGTTAATGAAATATGCGATAGAATACATACCACACCAACAAAAATTGAGAAAGTATATGCACAACCGATCCAAACAGGATCCCCATGCTGCATTGACTGCAGAAAAAAACATAAGAGAGCTTAACAATTCAGTCATAAAAATCAAAAGGAAGAGGTGGATCAGAGCTCAATAATTAATTAGTGTTTGTTCCCCAAGTACTCCTCAAATGAATTCTCATTTTTCCTGACGGTTGATGTCCAACTGTTGTGACCAGAAGGAGGCATAGAAATTCATAAGTTATTCCATTAACAGAAAAAAACTAGATTTTTTCAGTTTTATCTTTATGCTTATCTAGTGAATATGAAACTTCTTCCTAGGCGGGTTTCTAGAACCACATGATCATGCAGGTGTAAATGCATGGTGAAAACCCAAGCTGTGTATTATTGAGATGTTGATCTTTATACAGAGGTTTGGCAACTGATTGCCGAGATTACAGCAAGCTACTAACAGAACTAGAATGTGGCAGTAAACTAAGAACAGAAAGCTACAATCCACTAACAACATAACAGAAGCAAACAGATCAGAGAACATTTAGGTGACACGTTGTGCACTCTATCAGCAGGAACGAGCATCATCGTTGTTTCATAAATAACACATATATACCCGTTCAGTATATAAATAAATCTTCAATTTAGCAAAGTAAATGATGCTAGCAATATATGAAATGCATCTGGTGCCTTAAAAGAGAAAGCGAACCTGTAAGAGATGGTTCAAGATAACAGGCCCCACAAATTGAGAAAGATCGTTGAAAATCTACATCCAGCTCAGAAAGTTCATAAGCTCCATGTCAGTTGAGCAATTGATGGAAAGTTTGAAGCATATACTCTTCCAAGTGCAGAACATCATGCTCATGCAAATTCTAGAGAACATAAAAAAAAAATTGGCAGCATCCAATAGTCAGGAAAATAAGTGTGGGATGAGCTCTATTACCTTAAATAGTCCTCCCAGCCAAAACCTACAGAAACATGAGTGGATTAATAAAACAAATTGGGAGGAAAGAAGCCCCAGATTTCCCTTGGTCGAAGGGAGCTCAGAAGAACTTTAAAAAAGTGAAGAGGGTAAATTCATACCTTGCTCCAAGGCTATTATTTAGAGCTCTTAACAGCCATGGGTTTTTCTTTTCAGATTCTTCAATCCAGCATTTCTGGAATCTGCCAAAGTTGAACTTTTAGACAACATATGCAAGTGGCAGGCATTTTGCACACTAAAACAGTGAAGGGAAACAAACAAACTACAAACTTATTAATCAGTGTTTCAGTCTGATCCCATGCGTCTAATTTCCAGACATCCTTTTCAGTGATGGGTTTCTGGTAGCCTTGCCGCATAAGTGAGGTCATCCATCCAAAATATATACCTGACACAGCGATGAAATCAACAGCTATTGGTGAGTAGATGTGAAGTCCATAAATTCTATTTATTTACCAGCAAACCAACCAAATAAGGGGCACTTACGGGAAAAGAGATTTGCGTGCCTCTCAGGACAAACCTGCTCTTCTCCAGGGAGGGCCTCATACTCACCATTGCCATTGGACTCAGGTTCCAACATAACATAACCAGGGAATGGATCCAAGGTGGGCACATGAAACAAAAGAAGAATTCCGAATAAAACCTGTTGCAATGGAATATGGTAACACAGATTTTTCAGAAAGGTGAAAAGGGAATTATTTGGCCAAACCGAAAATGAAAAGATCCATACGAAAAGAACATAAGCATATTGTGTATCAATCAAATGGCTTGGCTAACTACTGTTATAGTAAGGCCCCACAATGTGTTCCAGTAGTGAAGGTAACCAGTGTTTCTGTCTATAGCCTATCTTCATTTTTCTTGGGTCGATAGCCTATCCTCATTCTTATTGTTCATGGTTTTTTTCTGCAATCGGTAGAAGCTGGCCACCAATAACAAGCTAGTAGTTTCATGCTGCAAGGCCTATAATAAACAATAAGGATGGTGATAACTGAATTAACATGCCACATGAATAATGACTTATTTGCTGCACAGTTGGACAGAAATAGTCAACTTAGTACCGAGCTATATTTAAAGGACACGCAAATGTACAACAGGCTAGATAAGGGAGAAAAACAGAAGACCAAATGGTAACCAACACCTATACAAAGGGGAGCACACACCTTGCATATAAACGTGCCCACACACATGTAGAAGGGCAATCTGCATGAAAATCCGCAGTCATCGTGGTCCCCTTAGTAGGCATCTTTAATATTCAATTGTTTACTTCAGAAAAATGAAAAAAGTATATAGCTTACTAACAACGTGAACAGAATACCATCTGACCTGGTGGCTTTATCACTCACTGGCAGGATGAAACTTAGCACTACGCATTCCGCTATCAACACATAAATGACTCCAAATCTCACATACCATCGGAACTTCTGGACATATATTTTGACTTCCAAGCTAATCATAATGAGCATGGAGCACCAGCAGAGGGCCTCAATGACTAAAGAAGCCATCTGAAAGCCACATAGAACAACATGCAAAATTATAAAACATTATTTGGCTAGTACATGTTTTTGAAGACATGATACATTCATAACCTACAGCTAACTCGATAGTTATACCGGTTCACCAATTTTATTAGGCTCGTATCTTGATTACCAAGTAGTATGATGGTCGGCACCAACTTATACCATAACTAAAGGCAGATTAGTGCAACGTTGCAGTGAATTGGGGGTTGAATTAGATTCTCATTTGAAAGTGCTGGATAACCTTCTATGGCCATAAATTCAAATACCAACAATTCAAGGACACATTCAAGGGCACACGTATACTTTAAATTTGAAGTGCATAGATAACAAGTCAGAGAACATTTTTAACAAATAAGAGTCTCACCTCAAAGGGTGCAACGCCAGTCTCGCCCTCCAGGTCAAAGAATGAAATATCCATTAGCAGCCTGAATATAGGCTCAGCAGTGCAATAAGCAGCAAACAATCCTAGTATGTAGTTGTAGTAATTTGTCCTTAGACGGTACTTTTCAGCTTTCGGATCCTCAATCAACCAAATCCGGTAGAAGCACAGCCCACAGAGCACCGAATAAGATAAACAAATCACCAGAGAGTCAATGGCACAAGGGGTGTATGCTCCAAATGTGGTGTCTAGTTCTTTTGCAGATACTCTATTGGCCACTGGTTTACAATACCAAACCAGCAGCTCCCAAGAAGCCATCTTCCCCACAGCCCTGCAAAAATGAAAAATGGTTGAGCGTCAGAACAAATCCAATTTCCAAGGAACAATGAAAACTATGAATCCATTCCCCATTTTGGTTTTCGAAGACAGATCGCAATCATATGATTCATATTTTTAAGCATTGGAATTCCAGAAACCAAGTTAATTCAAGAAACACATTTATTAATTAGCACCACGATAAGAGAATGGCTGGCAGAAGCAAACGGACCACAACTTTTTTGAAAGTAATGAATTGACAACCAACAATTCAATACAGGAAAACGGACAGAAACATACCTCGAAGGAATCAAGATCGACAAATATTCAAATCCTGAAAAGTGTGCAGAATGCTTCAGAGGCACTGTGGCCTGTCTGAAATGAAAGCAGTTGGGGAGAGCCTGAGCTTGTGCACTTTGCTCTCATCACAACAGAAGCTCAAGAAAAATGGCTGGCAGCAGCAAAACGAACCACAACTTTTTTGAAAGTAATGAATCGACAACCAACAGTTGAATACAGGAAAAGGGGCAGAAACCATACCTCCCAGGAATCCAGACCGACACTTCCAGAATGTTTCAGGGGGACTGTGGTCTGTCTGAAATGAAAGCAGTGGTGGAGAGCGTGAACTTGTGTCCTTTATTTTGCATGGATTGCTCCACAGGCAGATAAAATATATAGATCATCATGGCAAAAGTCAAGATCATTACTTTACTACTAGACCTATTACAAAACGAGGGAATAGGAGAGCAACAAATGATGATTATTATCATAACACACCACACCATCAATTTCCACCGACCATACCACACTATTAATTGCCATCCGCCATTAATTTTCCATCTAACTGACACCACATCCATTCTCTCCATCCACTGTAGCACACCAATTTTCCATCTAACTTGTTCCACATAAACTCGTATTCGGCATTTGAAACAGTGCCAAAGACTGATCAACAATTTTGCAAGGAGAGCTCCAAAGGTAAACATAAAAACTCACCAAGATCAAAAGGGCAAGGCAAGCCATGTGAGGCATGAATATTGACTGTAGCTCAGAGAGGGAAGACAGAGTCTGAGAGTTTGGCGGTTGCAAAGCTCGATTGGACTTTAGGGTTAGAGGTGAGGCGAAATGGAAGAAGAAGCTCATCTCATAGGGTTAGGGTTAGGACGGCGAGAAGATGAAAGGATAAGAAGCTGTATTCGGGGGATCCAGATGGAACCACGAACCAAATAAGAGAAATGGAACCGTTTCGCGCCGGCCGTCTTGCCGTCGCCGCCTCGTGCTTTGCGAGAGGGGTCGATTTTGATTCTATACGAAAAGAGAAGATATGGCGTATGGTGTCTGAGGAAGACGGAGATGGGTTGCGGAGGCGGCGACGAGGGATTCGATTTCCCCAGATGACGAAACGAAATCGACCTCGATTCGCCCATGCCGGCTTCAATTGAATCGAAGAAGAAAGGGGAAACAGCTGGAACTTTTAAGCTGAAGAAGAAGGAGAGATCGAGAATAGCTGGATTTTCCAGGGATCCGATTGCTGATGAAGGGGAAAGCGAACTAGAGAAGAGAAACGGGAAGATTGACGGGGCTCGGCAGCAGATGAACGGAGAAGGAATTTGAACTAAGGACAAGGATCTAACGGTCACGATCGGCCAGTCTAAGGTGTTGATCAACGGTCTTGCTTAGTCAGTTCAAAATTGTGTTCATGAGCTTACAATAGAAGCGGCCACAGAGACCTAGGCCTTTCAAGTGAACAAAGACCTCCATTTTTTCTTTAAGGAACAGTACTCTTCAATGATTTTAACTCTTTGAAATCCAAATTTCTAGATTCTAAACATTTTAATTTCTCTAATTAATAATATTTTAAAGTATTCATTATTTGGTAATTACATTTGGTAACATTTAATGAAAATAAAAAATTCTAATTTTATAATCAAGTGATGTTTACCCTTAACCGAAAGAAGGAGAGTGCGAGTGAATATTGAGAATTTATTGATAAAGTATTTGGTGTGATAAATAAATAAGATAGAGTAGAGGAGGAAAAATACCTCAAATCAAGATATACAATTTCTCTAAGTTTAGAGATTTGATATAGCTATATGTTAGAGATTTGAAATCTTCGAAGTTATAATTCACGATAAAAATAGAAGAAGAAAAAAAAACATAACTTTAGGCTAAACCAATTAATTTATTGAATTCATGTTCCAAATCATTTTCTGGCAAATAACCCCTTGTGATATATTTAATGAAAAATAATATAATAATATTTTTCAGATTGTTGTATTCTTGGAGCATACGATATTCTAGGTAATACTAGTGATATATTTCAATCTAGACTATGAACTAAACATAGTTTTGGATGTATACAAGTTCCCATAAAAAAGTAGTTTTGGATGTGATACTGTACCCCAATCTCTAATTGATAAATCGTATACCACAATTCTCTAAACTAAGACTTAAAAATTAATTTAATAAAATATAAAAATCGATGGTTCCAATTCGACTAAACATAACGAAATATACCCAATAATCATATTGTACGTCAATCATTAGTTCATTACCCTAACAATAATATATTGTTGTAATAATTATTGAGCAGGGAAGCGCAGCATTTCTGCTATGGTGTTCAATGCACTTTCATGGAGCAAGTCTGCTAAGCTGGTCACAGCATTTGCAGCCACCTAGAGATGTGAACCTTCCCAAACCCATTTACATCAAAATTATTAACCAATTGATAATATCTATTTTATGAATTATCAGAATTCAGAGTATGATACTATACAACGATGGAGGGCGATTAAAATAGTTGGTCATTGTTAGGAGATACATGATTGTTGGTTATTGTTACGATCCAGCATGGCTTAGAATTTAGATGCATGATTGTTGATTCGATTGCGAACACGGACCAGCTAAAGCTCAACTAGCACATGCAGTTGTGACTTGTGAGCCAGCTAGGGGACCTGGTGCCCTAATTCCGAGAGTGATTGAGAGGGTTGGTTCAGCTTAATCAGCTGCCCTTGGGCCAGCAAGTTTAATGTTCAACAGTATTGCTTCAGAACAAGGACCATATATATGGGGCTAGCTAGGGGAAATGAAATTAATCCACAGTAGCTAGAAACTAGAAAGTACCCTTCAATCCCAAGTCCCATCATTGGACAAACCATTAATTATGCATGCATGTATGCTATGTACTATGGGGAGTTATGAATTGGGAGTTGTACAAGGACCATATAAACGAAACTGTATGTGCAGATGGCGCCATAAAGGGCTTTTTATAAGCTGTCCAAGCGATAATGCAGCAGCAGGCAGGGGAGCTGAGTCTGCAAGGAAATCAAACAAGTTGGTCTGCAGAAAGAATTGATGTCACTGGCTGAAATACATAAGAGATTTGACTGGAAGTTTCCTGATGGGGATGACGCAACTCCCTATCTGAGCCTAAGCATCCATTGTCTGTTGAACTTGTCAAAACTGAAGAATCAAGGAAGAGAGCCGAGACTGAGAAGGCCGAGTATCTGAACTCGGTCCAGGTTACTCGAGCGATGACTCTGAACAACCTGAAAACTAGCCTCACACTTGTATTCCAGGGGTTTATGAAATTTTCAGGTGCTTCTGTACAGGCATTTGGAGCTGTTCGAATCCACGAGGGCAAACAAGAAGTTCAATGTGATCCACCTGAAAACTCCATAAACCAAGAGTGATATATCAAGCTGGAACTCATGAGTGTTCTCTGCAGCCTTCGAGTCATATATTGAGTGAAAATCCACTGGAAACATTTTCACTAATCATCAGTGTAAGAACTATTATAATCAACGAAGAACAGGTAGCCCACTGCTCGAAATTTCCATTACAATTTGTATTATACATCTGTTCATGTGGCATACCTCAACGTTCATTCTATCAATTATCAAGTTGGAACAATCTAGTCCAAAAAATGTCAAAACAACCATTTTTCTTGCTCCGTTCTAGTTTTCGTCATTGTCCCAGTCCAATGGTTCGTTCTCTAATTCGTATGCTGAAACTGGATTCCTGTTCTTAGCCAGCCTGCTCATCATTGCTAGACCTGATAAAGATAAACAAAACAAGGGTATGGATCAGATATGAACTGTCAGATGCACTATTCTGGCCAAAATAATGTATCCGCAGAATGCAATCTGTGATTACCTTCAACTATTCTGTAGAGAGTCGACCACCATCTTTCTCTGGGGAGATCATGCTGCTGGAGAGTATCATCTATTACTTCGTCATGCTTCCCTTGCAGCACTCCCTGAAGGGTTAAGACAGCATCTTTCGTCCTCCTGAGAATGTCGTTGCGATCTCCAACAACTAAACTCTGAAGGTCATTTGTTGAAGAAGTGAGACTAACACCTAGTGCAAACTGAGCAGCAGCTGTCCATCTCGAGGAAGCAAGCCATTTCCTCTGCCAATCTAGGTTCTTGGTCTTTTCATTCCCGTTGAACTTGCTCTCTTTGGCTTCAAATACCAAGCTGCTTAGATATTGAGCATTTGCTGATCCAGTACTCTGCACCATCTTGTAGAACGCACTCTCTACGTTTGAAAGCAGTTCCTCCGGACTAGCATGCTCTTTTACCTAAAAGAATGGATACATAAAAGGTTCTTAACTCTATCCTAAATAAAATCCTTAAATCTAATACAGATTTCTTTATTATAGAATGTTGGGATAGGATTCCAATCCATTTCCATCTCTTATTTTCCTGAAGTCCATTTTCAATTCTTGTGATTGTGTATATAATTACTTCTCACAACTATTATGAATTATACTTTAGTATGCTACTTATGTCCTGGGGAAAAGAAAATGTGAAAAAGAGAGAGAAGATAGTGTGTGGAGATAAAACAATATTAAATCTTAGTGAGATCACTAATTCCATTTCCGCAAACTGAAGTCCACATTTCCTGTAGGTTTTCCAAACATAAACCATTTCCAGAGGAGTTTAGGCTATCCAAATAGGCTGTATAGAGAATAGAAGTTCTTGATGTGAGAGCTTACCCGGCCATCATCAAGCACGAGAATTCTGTCGCAGTCAATGATAGTATTCAATCTGTGAGCAATTACAAGCATTGTGCAGGACTTGAACTCTTCTCTGATTGTTTTCTGTATGAGCGCATCAGTTCTCACATCAACAGCAGCAGTTGCTTCATCAAGTACAAGAATTTTCGATCTTCGTAGCAATGCTCGAGCTAAACTCAATAGCTGTCTCTGTCCAACACTGAAGTTCTCTCCTCCCTCCAAAACCTTTACAGAACAAGGATTTTAATGTCAGTAGCATATAGCAGACCCCTAGTTCTATGACCTTTCTGTATTTCCAGATTTATCGTTAGAATCTTGTGGTTTAGTACTATTCTGTGACTATAATTTGAATGGATAAAAGGACCTGCCCATTTTCTGTATTGATTTTGAATTATACCTCAGCATCCAGACCCAAAGCATTGCTCCTTATCACATCCTTTAGATGTGCCCTTTCCAGTGCCTCCCAGAGGTCTGCATCATTATGTTCACTAAATGGATCCAGATTCATTCTCACAGTTCCTGTAAAAAATAAAAGAGGATAAGTACTTCTTATCATATTATACTTTCCTAATCTGCTTAGGATAACCCACTTAAAGTCACACTAATTTCCAAATGAGATAAGGATTCTTAAATCTACTAGGACTCAAATTCCTAATCCAATTAAGGAAAACTATTCCTAGTCTGATTAGGAGTCATGCTTAGATCTTTGAATCTAATTATGATCCTAGTCCAACCAGGAAATGAATTTGTCGATGGACCCTTTCGTACTTAGATGGTGATTCTAAGTGCGACCCATAGGGTACTGATCGTGTCAGTAATGACAATAAGGTCATCAGCAATGAGTGATGTCCAGCAATACGTAAAATAAATCGCTGGAAGTTAGAATGATCGACAAGCTTATACAATATACATGGTGCAGAGTACTAACTGTATTAAAGGGGCAGTTAGGACTGTACAGGTTGCTTACCAGAGAAAAGAACCGGTGCTTGTGGTATGATAGTAAGAACTTTCCGAAGATCCATGAGCCCAATTTTCCCAACATTACATCCATCAATCACGATCTCTCCCCTCTCAGCCTCCACAATTCTGAACAATGCATTCAGCATGCTGGACTTCCCCGCTCCAGTTCTTCCAACCACGCCAAGCTTCTCACTCGGAGCAACCGCAAACGATAATCCATGCAACACCGGTGGAAGTTCTGGCCTGTAACGCAGGACAACATCTGAGAACTTTATTGAACCTGATGAAGGCCATCCAGGTGGGGGACGATTGCTCTCGATAACTGCCGGAGCCTCTGAGGGCAACTCCATGTATTCGCCCACACGCTCAACAGCATTGAAGCTATTCTCGGCTCGACTCGCCGATCTCAGCACACCGCTCAACAAACTAGTAATGTTGAGAGTGTAAGTCAGCAGTAGGCCCATGGTAGAAGCGAATGCAATCCTGTTTTCGGCTTTTTGATTCTCCAAGACTGCGAAGGTGGCTATTAACCAGATCATGACTCCTCCCAGCGTCTCCAGTCTTATGGTGAGCCAGCGATTGGAACTGATGTTCACAAGGGTGAATCTGATGTTGTTGTCCATTGTTTTGCCGTTGATATCGGCAATACGATCGTAGGCCTTGTAGGCACGAATGCTGGACAGGCCATTTAGCGCTTCTCCGAATTGTGCATAAACTGGGGATCTGGTTATGGAATCCAAGCGTTTCACTTCACGGGAAGTGGTCTGAAAATTGCATAGGGCTGCAGTTATTGACATTTCTGGCAGGAGGTTGGGTTTTTACAGAAAGTGACATTTTGTATTAATATACAGTAACCTCAAAAAGTACTGTTTTTCATTGACACGATTGATGTATACGCATGCAATCTCAAAGGCTAGCAAAAGTATTTGGAAATGCAAGACAGAAAAGTGGATCGTCCTACATGTCTTCTTTCACTTTTATAGCAAAAATTTCACGCTCAAATGAACTCAACCAACAGTGTTCCAATTTGCAAATGTAACTCATAATAGCATGAATTAGCAAGGGACAAATTCTAGCCTCGTCTGATTTCTTTTTACAGAAATGAAATCAAACGAGGAATCTGGGTTCTTTGTTGGCCTAAGAAAAACCAATCATTTAAATGGTCGAAATTATACAGAGCAAAATATAAACACATTTGAAGGAAGGATGCCGAAATTACCTGATAGAATAAATAGGCTGAATAAAACAAGATGAGAAGAGGCATTACGGCCCACAAAGACAGAGTGCTCACGATGCCTATTAAGGCAAATGTGGAAAGGAGCTGCCAGACTTGGTTCAGAAAATTGTTGGCAAAACCGGCAACATTGCGATCTATTTCCCCAAGATCCTTTGCAAACCTGTTAATTACCCTGCCAAGTGGGTTGGTGTGGAAGAACAGCATAGGAGCTCGTAGGAGGGTTGCTAGCATAGAATCATGGAGTCTTTTGGCGGCACGTAGACTTGAAGTGATCAACCAATAAGAGTTTCCCAGTGTAACGCTTACCTGATACAGAAAAGGAAACGACACAAGGGATGGTTGGAAAAAATTCTCCCCTTCTAGACTTGGGACGAGCCACACCATGGAAATGGACTTATAATACTGGGGAAAAGAACTATGTTAATGAAAAGTTATTGACAAACCTGGCCCAGTGACAGAAGTGCATAAACCGAGAGGAAAAATGGAAGATTGTAGCTTTCTGAATCGCTGTGGTTCGTCCAAATGCTTAACCATTGACTGCTTGAAATTCGAAGAACTTCAGTTAATGTGTAGCATGTGAACAATACCATAACCACCAGCATACCCCCTAATGCAGTCGTGTACCTGTAAGCAAAACCAAACATTAGCATACACGCTTTGATTTGCGAATGAAATATCTGTCACCTCAATCAACCAAAATCAAAGCTAATCATTTTATTGGTAGAGGTAGGTTTATAACTTTAGAAGTCATTCGGTTGGATGCAATAACATGCAATTGAACAAATATCGTTTTTTGTTCACATTTTTTATGCACATGCAATCTCAAATGCATCAAAACAATAAAATATCAAATACTTGGGGTATAGAAAGTATTTGAAAATGCATGTTAGAAGAGTAGGTCTCACAAGTAATTTTTCACTCTTCTGACACTATTTTGTGTATATGCAATAACAACATGCAAATTGAGTAACATGCCATGGAGAAAATAATATCAATTTACAAAGACACATTTATTCCAATATATATATGTATAGCAATTTAACTTTCACCTGTCCAATACTTTCCAACTAACAATGCCAGTCTCCCTTTCCTCTTGCTTTATTAGCACTGACTTCCCTCTTTTCCCACTCTTACTATTATATCCTGTATTCTGTGTCAACTCATGCACTCCATTAGTGGGATTTGACCTTCCATGCTCAACATTTGTGCTGTCCAGCTCTTCTTCGTGCACCTCCTGTTCTTCTTGCATTTCTTCCGTCTTCCCAGCATTCTCCATCAACTTTTGGAATAACGTGCCACTTTTGGAGAGCTCCTCGAAGGTTCCCTCCTCCTTAACAGTTCCTTCGCTCACAACAATGATCTTATCCACATGAGGAAGAAAATGTAGCTGGTTCGTCACAAGAACCCTAGTCTTTCCTTGCAACTCTTCCTTGATGCATTTGTTGAATACCTGTAGAGAACAAAAATGTCAAGAAATACATTGTCAAGCTTCATAGCTGTCCAACAAGATGAGAGGAATTTCCATAAAAAAACAAGGTGAGAGGAATCATGATGTTTAAATCTTACCTGGCGACCAACGTGAGCATCTAGGGCACTTAAAGGGTCATCAAATATGTATACGTCTGAATTCGAATACACAGCCCTAGCTATCGAAACCCTTTGCTTTTGACCACCACTGATATTCACTCCTCTTGCTCCTATCTCTGTTAGATCGTGGCCCTGAGAAAAAATAAGAGGATGTTAATCTAGGCCATCCATTCCAAAGGGCATTTACAAAATAGGAGAAAACGTTTTGAAAATTCACTTAACAGGAAGTATGTCGAGATCATGATGTAAGGCAGACACATCAATTGTTCTCCAGTATCGCTCAGGTTCGTATGTAGATCCAAACAATATGTTCTCTCGCAGCTGGAACAATGAACAGATTAACGTCAGTGCTTGCAATAAACAGATACTGATAAACAAAGAAGCAAGGAGGGTACAACTCACAGTAGCATTGAAAATCCAAGAAACTTGAGGAACATAAGCGACAGTTCCTCTAATCGCAACACTAGTATTGGCTACAGCAGGCAGTTCTCCAAGCATTGCTGAGATAAGCGACGTCTTTCCTTCTCCAGTTCCACCAACTATTGCAACTAAGCTTCCAGCTGGTATATCTAGATTTATATTTGACAATGTAGGCCTCTCTGCCTGTAGAAAGCAGAGAGTTAAGGGCACAACCTCAAAGCCACAGAAGCTTGACGAAACTAAACGTGTAATCCTAACAAGTAACTAAGAAAATCAAAGGTTAGACATGGTGCCATCTGTTTTTCTTTTTTCCTATCAGTCACTGATGCGTAGCCTTACTCAGGAAGATCAAGAAGATGGTCAGCTGGAGTTCTACTTGATGTACTGAGCCAGTCTGTAACATCCATAGATGATCCAGTAACTATAACCCTCTTGCAGTCTTTTCCCCAAGGTAAGTCTACTCTAGAACCCCATTGCTAGTATGGGGGATGGACTTCGTCATTCAGTAAGTGAAATTTTTGTACTGAGAAAAACAACTACATGGAAGCTCAGGGCTAGAAGAAAAATTCTAGAAAGCTGAGAATAGCAATAAGTTTTGCTTCTATTTGTTGCCTCAACCTAAACTGAAAGGCACGATAACCAAGTTCAGGTGTCAAAAGGTTGTGATCCATAAACCTGGATCACTTACTAACAATTTCCAATGTGTTTGGCTTCTACTCGATGGAAATTTGCTTTTATGTTGTATCATTACATAATTGAAAACTGCCTATTCGATGGAAATAAATAACACAATATTAGCCAGCAATTCACTGATAGTGACCGCAGTTTTAGGTAATAAAACAAGAGATCGACCTTTGAATCCCACGAAAAATGTCCATCCTTGATAGAGATGGCAGGAAGTTCTGCCTCAAGCGGTGGATTCAATTCCAGAGTTCTCTCTTCTGCCATAAATAGTTCCTCCAACCGTTGGACTGAGACATTTGCAGTTACAACCTTCAAAAGGTTAAGATAGTTCAGAATCTTGAGATGGCCAAAAATACTTGCATATAGGAGCCCAGAAGAAGTGCATCTATTTCTCCTACTCACTTGCATTCGACATGTTCAGTGAGCAAGAATAAATGTTAATAGTAATTGACATGGCCTAGTGAATTTAGAGTATGATTATCACCATAAAGATGAAATGTTGGTTTGCTCTTTGATCAAAAACCAAAGTGCCAATCCAGAGTACCAAAGTCGAAAGAAGGTAAGGCACGGACAGTGAAAAGAAAAGGACTGACCGCGCTTAATAAGTTAGGAAGCATGTTCAAAGGAAACCGTAACACTTGAAACAGAGAGAGTGATGTAAATGCCCTAGCAGGTGTCAAGTCTCCGCCGAGTAAGGTGAAAGTTCCAAATGAAACCAATGTCACAACAACTGGCATGCTGTTGAGCAGAAAACTATTGAACTGCAGTAGAAGGCAACAAATCAAAACCATTCAGTTTGTGTACAATATATCAACCAACAAATTCTATACTCGGAGGAAATGCATGCTGAAATAAGTGGTAAGAGTGTGTGTGGGCCATACAGCAGCAAGCAACTGGGCCCTGCGAAACCATGACAGCTCATCATCCCGTAGACCTTGAACTCTATTCTGGAAGCTTTTCTCCCAAGCATAACATCTGAAAAAATGTATTTTTTGTCAGAGCAAATCAGCAAACTGTCTTTAATCTAATGATGCATTTAGAAGATTAATAAAAAGAACATACTTCACAGTCTCCATTGCTGCAAGGATTTCATTCATGAGGCTGACTCTCCTATCTGTCCTTTGCAAACCTTCCTTGGTTAGTTTTCTCATTTTGCTAATCACAGCTGTCTGTTGGTGTTTAGTGATAACGTTAATAGACAAGTTAAACCAGGCATTTTAAGAAGTAACCTTTGAGGGTACCCCATCATTCCAGGATTAAAATAAATCACCGGATTACCTGTACAGGGATCATGAGAATGAGGAGTAACGATCCAAGGAGAGAAGCAACACCCAATTGCTGGTAGAGAAGTATCATAGACAAGGTGATTCTGAATGGCGCTGACCACAAATTATGAAGTTGTTGGCATACTTGCTGAAATGTCACAATCAAAATAGAAATTCCAATTTAGCCATGTTGATTGCTTGATGATTCGGCCTTTCACTATTCTGTCCAATAGTTCACAATTCGAGTACCAAATTGAACATACCTGGATTGTATTGGCATCTGTCGTGATCATATTTGTGATCTTCCCAGTTGGGAAGTTCTTGCGGGCCTCATGAGTTAGTCTCAACGATTTACGGAATATGGCAGCCACCTGCATTACGAAAGGATGATGCTCCATCAATGAATGGATCTCATATTCTCATTTGGGAAAGCACCAACTTCCAAATAGGCTCGGAGGATTTCTGAGGCAGATTAAATACAGATCCATCCATGGAGCAAAAATAAAAACAAGAAAGCCCAAGAATCTACACTTCATGCTGATAATAAAACCCATACAATATGACAAATTGGAAACCATACCAGAGTTGATCTCAAGCGAAATCCAATGCGCATCACATTCTGAAAGTACTGGGATTCACAAAGCACCCCGATTGACTGAATTAAAGTAGAAAAGCAAGCAACAAAAAAGAGATCTGTGAGCCACACATTCAAAGCCCAAATAATTTACAAAATGCAACATCATAGAAACATAAAGTGAATAAACCAATAATAATATAATAAAGCGCTATTATCAACCTTAATGGCCCTACAGCCTTAACATCTCAAATAGAAGCATAACATAGCTGACATCAGAGAAGGCTGATCAAAGTAGACATCACTTCAGTATCTGTATTGGCATGGCTTCAGATACATGGGGTTGGTTGGTTTTATGATCTGAGAGAAGAAAAGCATTCTTTCCACTTTTCACGACTTAACCCACTATTAGAGCCAGTAATTCATATAGTTATTTCAGGTTCCATGCAGTACAACTTCATAGTCTTCCTACCTGCTCCAATTATGTTAATATGGTTTTCATCTTATGCCTAGTCAGTTTTCCTAAATTAGTTCTGCATTCATGAAAAAAGAAAGGACTCGACGCGATTACATAAGGACTATATCACATGACCCAGCATCAGCATAAGCTGTCAAAAATTGGAGATATAGCCAGTAATGAAGATGTATATGGAAAATTTCATAGTTTGGCCCTTTTATGTAATGTACTTGGAAGCAACAAAGGTGTTGTGCTAGACATGTAGTAGCCAACTTATGATATTGTTAATGAAGTATGAGATAGAATCCATACCACACCAATAAAAATTGAGAAAGCATAAGCATAACCAATCCAAGCAGGATCCCCACGCTGCATTGACTGCAAAAAGGAACATAGGAACTCAACAATTCTGTCATAAACATCGCAAGGAAGACGATGCTAGAGTCAAATTCACGTCAGAGCTGAATAATAAATTAACATTTGTTCCCAAAGTCTTCCTCAAACAAATTCTCATTTTCCCTGATGGTCCATGTTCAAAAACTGCTGTGACCCACAAAAGGCATATTTTCCTCAGTTATTCCACTAACAGGAAGAAACCAGAATTTTCAGTTCTTTCAATACCCTCAAGTTCTAGAATTTGAAACATCTTCCTAGGGGGTCGTTTGGATGAGGGAATGTGGTAGGATTGTGGTGCAGGATTTTAAAACAATCCCACACAATGAGGGATTTTAATCAAATAACACGTTTGGGAAACCTAAGAATTGTGATTATTAGGAATTTTAAAAACCTGCATATGTGGGATTGTGAAATAGCTGATGAGGGTCAGCTATTTTGAAATCCCTCATTTTTTATTTATTTATTCCAAACTTATCCTTCACCTACAACACACCCTCTTCGTTCTCTTCACCCATCCTCACCGCCGGTCAAACCTTGCCGCCGTCGCTCTCTCTCCCCGATTTCGTCCAATCTCGCCGTCGACCTCTCTCCTTGAAGTCTCCCAGGTCCACCGGAGCAGTTGGAAACTCGGAAATCGCTCAATCTCCCCGATGTTGCACAGGTCACGGTCGCGCACATATCGACCTCTGTTTCCTCCATTTCCAAAGATGATGTCGGCAAATGGCGAGGATGCCGATTGATGAGGACTGGCGAGGCCAACGACCCTGAAGGACGCTGGATGACGAGGTCACCGGGTCTTCTATGGATTGGTCGCTGGCTCCACCTAAATCTTGCAGGTTGGTGATATTCTTCCTTGCAAAAGTTTTCCATTCTGCCTAGTATGCGAAAACTTGATCCTGACTGTGTTATTCTTTCATTTTCAATTGGGTTTTGGTGATATTTTACCGCAGCATCCCATCAATCTGGTGGGTTTTGTCAATTTTGGTGGTTCGATCGTCTGGTGGAGAAAGGAGAGCAACGTTTGCAGAGGAAGAGGAAGATGGGAAGCAGGACAATATTGTATTTTCAATTCTTATATTAAAATCCTAGGTTTACTTCCAAACAAGTTATTTCATTAAAATGCCTGATGTAGAAAACCTAGGTTTTTAAAACAAGAGATTTGAGCTCAAATCTCTCTTAAATCTCTCAAATTAAAATTCTGCATCCAAACCACCCCTAGGTGAATTCCTATAGCCAAGATAGCTTATCACCTAGTACTAAGTTGTTCTATTCAGGGGACTCCACCAAGAGGTTCTTTTTCTCTAGAGGAAATGGGATTTGAACCCATGATACAAGAAGATTATATGTCAATTTAGCAAACCAATGCTTCAATCCTTTCTTACTATTAAAAAAAAAAGATAGAACAGAGAGAACAGATAATCCTTTCTTACTATTCGGGTTACATTCATTCTTATAATTTAATGCCGAACTAAAGAACATAATGAGCTATGAAGCTAGCATTCCTTGAGGAATCCTGGTAGCAGGTTGGACCATCATTCTTGTTTCATGAATAGCACAAATAAAACCCATGCAGTATATATAAAGCCTTCAAATTTGCTAGTAAATCAAGCGTGTACGAGACATAGTACAACTGGCACCTTAAAATAGAAGTCAAACCTGTAATAGCTGGTTCAAGATAACAGGCCCCACAAATTGAGAAAGATCGTTGCCAATCTACATAAAGTTCAGAAAGTTCATAAGTTCCATGTCAGTTGTGATGTTGATGGAAACTTAGAAGCATCCACTCCATCAGACACCAAAGCAGAGCATCATTTTCTTACAAATTTTATAAAACACAAAACAGATTTGGCAGCATCGGACAGTCAGGGAAAAAGAAGTGTGGGCTGAGCCTATTACCTTAAATAGTCCTCCCAGCCAAAACCTACAGAAATATGAGTGGATTCATAAAATAACTTGAGAGGAAGAAAAGCACAAATTAAAAGGCCCCAGAGTAGTCACTTACTGATTTTTCCTAGATCAAATTGAGCTCAGAATAAAATTATGGAAGGTGATGAAAACAGGTAACTTCATACCTTGCTCCAAGGCTATTATTTAGAGCTCTTAACAGCCATGGGTTTTTCTTTTTAGATTCTTCAATCCAGCATTTCTGAAACCTGCCAAGTTGGACTGTTAGACAACATTATGCAAGTGGCAGACATTTTGCACACTAAAACACTGAAGAGAAACAAACAAACTACTAACTTATTAATCAGTGTTTCAGTCTGATCCCATGCATCTAATTTCCAGACATCCTTTTCAGTGATGGGTTTATGGTAGCCTTGCCGCATAAGTGAGGTCATCCATCCAAAATATATACCTGACACATAGAAATCAAATCAACAGCTATCAGTGATTAGCTGTGAAGTCCACGAATTTTATTCATTTACCAGCAAACCAACCGAACAAGGGGCACTTACGGGAAAAGATATTCACGTGCCTCTCTGGACAAATTTGCTCTTCTCCAGGGAGGGCCTCATACTCGCCATTGTCAATGGTCTCAGGTTCCAGCATAACATAACCAGGATATGGATCCAATGTGGGCAAATGAAACAGAAGAAGAATTCCGAATAAAACCTGTAGCAATGGAATGTGGTTACGAACCACACTTACATTGTTCAGAGAGATGAAAAAGGAACTTTTTTTATATGGATGATATAAAATTAATGATGAAAAGAAACGGAAAACAAGCGGAATATTTCATGCGAAAAGGGCATAAGCAATATTGTGTATCGATCAAATGGTTTGAATAAAGTTCACTGCTGTTATGCTAAGGGCCCTCAATGTGTTCCACTAGTGAGAGAACCAGTGTTTCTGTCTATAGCCTATCATCACTCTTATTGTTCACCATTTTTCTCTGCCACCCAGCAGAAACTGGCCACAAATAATAACAAGCTACTAGTTTCATCTGCAAGGCCTAAAATGAACAATAAGGATGGTAATAACTGAATGCGCATACCACAGGAATAATAACTTACTGCACAATTGGATAGCAATAGCCAACTTAGTATCGAGCTCTACATAGAGGACACAGGTATGTACAACACAGGCTAGACAAGGAGAAGAAACAGAAGACCAAAAGGAAACCAATACGTATGCAAAGGAGAGCACAAACCTTGCATATAAACGTGCCCACAGACATGTAGAAGGCCACTCTGCATGAAAATCAACAGTCATCGTGGTTCCCTTAATAAGCATCTTTAATCTCTAACTAAAGAAGAAAATGTAGAGCTTACTCATGAAGTGAACAGTATGCCAACTCACCTGGCGGCATTAGCACTCACTGGAAGAATGAGATTTAGCACTACGCATTCCGCTATCAAAACATAAAGGACTCCAAACCTCACATACCATCGGAACTTCCGAATGTATATTTTAATTTCCAAGCCAATCATAATGAGCATGGAGCACCAGGAGAGAGCTTCAACGACCGAAGAAACCATCTGAAAGCCACATAACATGCAGAATAACAAAGCATTATTTGGCTGGCAGATTTTAGTAAAGAGATGATATATTCATAACGTCTAACTCGGTAGTTATACAGGTTCGCCAGTTTTCTAATACTGCTGTGCTGATTGCCGAGTATCACAGTCAGCACCAGATTATCACATAACTAAAGGCACAAAAGCGCACTGCTGAAGTGAATTGGGTTTTATATTGGGTTCTAATTTGAAAGTGCTGGATAATCTTTTATGGCCATAAATTCAGATGAACAATTCAATGACACGTGTATACATTTAAACTTGAAGTGCGTACATACAAGTCATTGAACCTATATTAACAAAAATGAGTCTCACCTCAAAGGGAGCAACGCCGGTCTCCCCATCCAGGTTAAATGGTGAAATATCCATCACCAGTCTGAACATAGGCTCAACTGTACAATAAGCAGCAAGCAGTCCCAGTATGTAGTTGTAGTACTTTGTCCTTAGACAGTACTTTTGAGCTTTTGGATCCTTTATCAACCATATCCGGTAGATGCATAGCCCGAAGAGTGCCAAATAAGATACACAAATCACTAGGGAGTCAATGGCACAAGGGGTGTACGCTCCAAATGCGGTGTCCAGTTCTTTTGCCCATACTCCATTGGCCACTGGTTTACAGTACCAAACCAGCGGCTCCCAAGAAGCCATCTAGCCCCACAGCCCTACAAGAATGATAAGGTTGCTGAGATCAGAACATATCTAATTTCAAAGAACACTGGAAACCTTTGAATCTACGACCCCATTTTGGTTCCCGAGGGCAGAACACAAACATATGATTCATAAATGTCAAGCATTGGAATTTCAGACAGTTCAAGAAATACATCAATTAGTTTAGCAGAACGATTAAGAAAAGCACCAGAATCGAAACACCAAAGAACGGTATATGTTTCAGTTCACAATATGATTCAGCAAGTACACATTAACAGACCTCTCTTATATAATCCTCAGGCACTCAAACTCGTACAAAGTGAGATTCCACTGCTAAAATTAAGAACAAAATACAAGTAAACCGAAAAGCCCAGATGACAATAGCCGAATTGCTTAGCAAAAATCAAAACTTTTTCAGCTTTAGTCAGGAAACACAAAGACTACATAAAACAGTCTGATTCTCCTCGCACGACAAACACACGAGAAAAATAGGCTGGCAGGTGGCAGCAGCAAAAGAACGACAACAATTTTGAAAGTAACGAATCGCCAACCAACAACTCTACCTCCAAGGAATCAAGATCGACACTTTTCCAAATCCTGGAAACTTTCCAGAAAGCTATGGCCTGTCTGAAGTGAAAGCAGTGGCGGAGAGAGTGAAGTTGTGCACTTCGCTTTGCATGGATGGCTCCAAAGGCAGATAATATATAGAAATCATCACGGTCACAACAAGTCAACAATAATACTTCGCTAGTAGTACTACAAAACGAGGGAAAAGGAGAGCAACGAATAAGACGAAGATTGGTATCATGTGGGCAGCAGTATTCTGAAGAATCAGCTGTAGAATTGCAAGCGTCAGCTGTGACGTGGGTCGCTACCATTTTGCATTATTGTTAGCCGGAAATCGACAAGGGAAGAAAATTTTGGAGGAGAAATGAAAAACAAACGCCACTAATTTTGTTTGAAAGCGGTAAGGGATCGACGATTGGTCTTATCCCTGGACTGGAGGAACGGGGAGGAGAAGTGGAAAAGAATGGTTTTTTGTCTTGTTTTTTCTAATGGGTTCTAGGGAATCACGGAGGATTTGGAATTGAAATTGGAATTTGGGGCCAATTGGAAAGGAATGTTTTTGGCGCCACGTACACCGTAGTCGGCCGGTGTGGTGGGACTAAGATCAGTTGGGACTTGGGAGGATACGGTGCATGGTTGTCGTGCCGGTAGGCATGCTATTGGTTGAACCTGGTTCAATCGGTTCCGGCCATAAAATCGACATGATATTATCGATATAATCGGCATGATCGATCTGCGAATTTTTAAGTAAAATGATGTTGTTTTAGTGAATTTAAATATAAGTACATGTAATTTATTGAAAATATCATATTTTATTTAAGGGTTAATAGCATTTTGTACCCTTTTACTATTGTAAATTAACAAACATACGCCTTTACTAAATTTTTGCACAAATATACCCTTCTAAAATTAAAACGTAACGAATATACCTTTCCATCCATTTATCTGTTGAGTGGCCATTAAGTGGGATGTGAGATGACTCAATTACCCTCATTTACTCTTAAATACTTCTGATTTTGATTTTTAATTATTTTATGTCCCTAATCAATAATTAAAAAAATTGAAAACCTAAATTAGTTCACGTTGGTCATCCCCAGAGCCGCCGCGGGGCTAGTGTCCGCGTCTTCATCACCATCGTCTCCAACAGCCGTAGCTCCTCCTTCACGCAAGGAGCATTGGGTGAGATTTGTGTTGGCGATGGTGGTAGTAATACCAACCATTACTATAAATAAAGCCCATTAGTTTAGGGTTTTTACACAACCACCACAAAGCTCATCCTCCGTTGTCGCCTCTCGGTATTCCAGTTGCTCAGACCCTCCCTGTCGGCCGTCGCCACTGCCTCCATCAAAGTGAGATCATTACCGGCGGTGACGGATGCGGGAAGCTGGCCGTCGGCTCCTCCCTGATAGTTTAGGTTTTTTTATTTTTTAATTAATTGATTATGGATATAAAATAATTAAAATCAAAATTATGAGTACTTAAGAGTAAATGAGGGTAATTGAGTCATTTCACATCCTACTTAATGGTCACTTAACAGATAAATGGATGGAAGGTTAGATTCGTTACGTTTTAATTTTAGAAGGGTATATTTGTGCAAAAATTTAATAAAGGGATATGTTTGTTAATTTACCATAATAGAAGGGCACAAAATGCTATTAACCCTTTATTTAAATACTAGCTTCTTGCCCGGCCTTTGGCCGGGATAACTGTTGTTCGGGGTTGGTTGTGCCATCCACTTTCCCCTTTTTTGTCGTCTATGGGTATTTTTTCCCCCGTCTATGGGTATTTGATGGGTCGTTTATTATCCTTATCATTATACTGATTATATGTGTCTCCATTTTCTGTTGATGTTTTGAATTACCATATATACTCTTGACAGACAAAAGTTTAGATGTAGATTATTTAAATGTACAATGGTTAACACATCATAACATAGTCATTTGGGACCAACGCTGTACTTCACAAACATGAGTATGATGAAAAACCTAAAGTTTCGTAATATAATTATAGTATCATTGTTGTGTGATGACTATGTGCATAACTGAATGTGCCGAGTACTTGGGAGCTTTTCATTTATTTGTTGTTACTTGAATTTGCAATGATGTGACGACCAAAAGTTTCTCGTTGTTGTTCGAAGCGGGCATTAGTATCCTGGTTCATTCTTGTAAGCATTGAGTGGGGGATGGTGTGCCTTCAACATCACTTTAAGACTCTGGTTTGAGGGCCTTTGTGGTTGTTGACATCTCTTGATAACGCTTCATCAACCATACACTTTATCGAATTGTAGGCTGGTGGGCTTCAATCCCAGTAAACTGGAAAAACAAACCAAGGAAATATGAATAAAGATAACAACTTTATGAACAAAATCAGCAACCCATAAACTTGAATGCCAATGTCAATGATCAGGGTCCCCTCACCAGATCTTTCGGTACGCCACTGGTCACATATGTAATTGGGGCATACAGGGCATCGGTTCTGGTCATAGACACCAAAGCCAGACATACAAAGCAATCTGAACTTTGCCATTCTGCACATAAGAAGTAGAAGAAGAATAAGCAAAATATGTACTCGTGGTTGTATCTTGGGTGTGTGAAATCTATAAGTGCTTATATTTTGTGGGAGCAGCGAATATCAAACAGTAGTGAAGCCGAATAAGAGAAACAACAAAAACCAAAAGGAACACTGAATTTCTAGGCGATGAGACAAATAACACAAATTCTCAACCCTAGAATCAAACAGAAATCGATTGAAACAATCAAAAGCCAAACAGAGTCCTGAAACATCATTCTTCCTCCGGCTCATCAAAACAGAACCCATAATCCAAAATTAAACGCTAAACATCCCCAGGATAGGGAATACAAATCCCACAAGTTGCACAAATTCTTAATACTGGAATCAAACAATAGCGATTAGAATTATCAAATCAAAACCCAAACCACAAAATTCAGTGGCGAAAAGCACATCCAGGAAAGGGAAATACTAACCGAAAAAACACTAATAATATTAAAATTACCTCAGAATCACAAAGAAGTCGAAAAGGGGAATATTATGATGTTGGTGGCATTCGAAAGACGGTTGCCTTCGGAGGAATCTGGGGTCTTCCATATGGTGGTCATGAGAAATGGAGAGGAGCTATTAAGGGGGACGATAGGAAGGGCATACCATCTCCATGGCGGAAAAGGGAAATCAATTGACGGAGGAAAAGGGAAGAAGATAGAAAGTGAAAGAAAATTGGGAAGTTGTCGCCGTTTGAGTTAGAACTTAGAAGAGTGGAAATCTGGGGAGTTATGGAAGGTGGGTAGGAAGAAGAAGGCGGATATGGATGTGTGAAAATTTGGGTATGGACCTTTGTAGATTAGTGAGAAGAAAATTGTTGGGGTTGGGAAGAGGGGGGATAGGGAGAAGGGCCTGGTTTTTTCACGGGAGAGGAAGAAGGGAGCTTTTTAAGGGGATGACGTGGGTAGTTGCCTTTAGGCAGGATTTGAGATTGTAAATAAAAAAATTAAAAAAATACAAATGTACTCCGAAAGTTGCGGGGAGGCATTCGGTGAGAAAGCCTTTATAATATTTTATGGATATGGAATGGATGGATTATTATGAATTGTACGTAAATTGTCTTCAAATATGGTCTATATATGATAAAATTCATTTGACATTAATGGTTTTTTATATTTCTACATATTTTACTAACCGACTTGAACCGGCACAAACCGATTGTACCATTGGTAGAACCATTCCACTTGCTAAACCGGCACAACGGTATAAACCGGTTTGACAACATTGATCCGGTAAGCATTTTGCTTAAGTTATTCTATTGGTTAATAGATTAGGTAGTTGATGATACATAAGGTATTATGCATATATAATTAATATTAATAATTGATTATTCTCATTCTCTCTCCTCTTATAACTTTCTTCATAACCCTCTCTCTTCAATATAATTAAAAGGAAACCCAAAATTAATTTAATTAGATTTTGATATTTAATAAAATTCGAATTTAATATTTTTTTCCTTTTTAATATAGAAATTAAAAATTAAAAAATTTCTCTCACTTCTTACAACTTTCCATGTAGTATTAACGTTTTGCAATGATATTATCAACGTTTATGAGTAATGAATCATTATTACTATACTTTATCATTATTAACGATTTCAATATAAGTATTAATTCTTTGCAATTATATTATTAACAACTAGCTTTGTACCCGGCCCGTCGGCCGGGTGGTCTCTTGTGTGTCATGTACTCAATACTCAATCATACATTTTGTGTTTTTAACCAAATCGTCCATAGACATATGTTAAAAATTATCATTAATTATAATGATTAGTCATGTTTATTCAATCTCTAATATTGTAAAGCAGTTGCAATCATGATTTATGAAGTCTCTGTGTAGGTATTATGTAAACATTTATCCACCAAATTGAAATGACTATCATATACAATATTTTTTTCCTATATTTGGATTGACACCAATTTGCCATTCCAATTTCTTCACTCAAAATTATGGTGAATAGGTTGAAGGACAACGTTTAGATAGCGGCAAGAAGGAAGAATATGGGGATCGGTTAGCATGCTAACCCTTGTATGGGTTGGCAAAATGACAACCCCTATTAATTATAGGTTTTTAAGGTAATTAATTTGTGTTACATTTAATAATCTGTATGAATTAAAAACACATATTAATTACTTTCCTTTTTTCAGTGCACTGGTAGTTGTATCAGTGCACTGGTATACTGAACTCATATTAATTACGTTCCTTTTTTGGAACTACCATTGCAGTGATACATCTACCATTGCACCTGTACACAACTACCAGTGCACTGATACAACTACCAGTGCACTGAAAAAAGGAAAGTAATTAATATGTGTTTTTAATTCATACAGATTATTAAATGCAACACAAATTAATTACCTTAAAAACCTATAATTAATAGGGGTTGTCATTTTGCCAACCCTTTTATGGGTAGGCATGCTATCTCATCCCAAGAATATAACATTTAAAGCATAAATAGCATATTGTGTCTTTAGAGATTTACTCAATAAAAGTTCATGAAACGTTGTTGCAAATTACGTGAAATTAATCAAAGTTGTGGTAAAAATCACGAGGCGTTTTAGATGATTTGGGGGTAGCCTTGGAACATGAAGCGCAGAAGGTATAACTCCAATTTGATTGGTCTGCAGCAAGCTTGTACATCGACCCGGTTGCAAAAACACCCTCGACTACTAGTCAAGTAATTCATGTTTATTGCACACAAAAATAATGTACAAATTACTTGCTAACAGGGTATCAATCCCCACTGAATCCCGTAAGAATGAGTATTTCATATCTTATTCTTGTAGTTGGATCAATTATGATAGAATAGCTATATATTCGAATCTCGGTCCTTTGATAATATAAGTTAGATCAGTAGTTTTCGTTACTTTTGACATCGGAATAAGATCACCAAGCCACGTTAATGTGTATCAAATGCTAATTGCCCATAGCTGCACATCCAAGGCACTGTAATTGGTTCTTTTGTATCCCATTTGGGGAACAACAATAATTTGTTCCAGTAGTGAATAATTCTGATATGCATTAAGCCAATGAACGAACTTGGGTCCAAGTTGTTAGTCCTTCATAATCCCTAACCTAACCAACTCCGGCCGATGAACAACTTCAAGCAACCATTCCACCGTCTTCATGGATCCTTATCATCATCATCATCATCAAACCCCGGCAGATGGAAGTTGGAATCAACCACCCCAGAAAGGTACTCATCAAACGGTCCAAATTGATGCTCCTAAAAGGGCAATTTTGTAACCCACGTCAAGCTTTCTATTAACTTTGTCTTTCTTGGTTTTGCACTTCACTTTCCGTAGCTTAAACTGTCGGCAACTATCTTATCTATCTATCTATCTACTACACACTCCAGCTTAATTAGCTGTCACTGCAACCTAGCTGCCTGGCAAGAGAACACGTGGCATGGTTCCCATTGGTCCACCCTTGTTCGCGTCAATTTCCCGACCATGTGTTTTTAAGCGAACTCCCCGGAGAATAATGTTAATTAAACCTTACGAGCCATTGTATTAATTAATCCTACCAAGTGTGGGTTTCGAACATTATTGAAATTATGCAAAATGTACTAAAAATATGTCAAAATGAGCGCAATTCATATGGTTTTAATACAAAATCAAATTGAAAGTTAAATCAAATAAAATATGAAAAACATTTAACACTAATTTTTTTTGGTAGAAAATGGAACGCTAAAAGAGCGCCCCTGCCTGATACTTAAATTAACCGGGTTTGGGAAATTCCCAAAACGTAATACAAAATCCAGAAGCTCAGACCCGGGTCTGCACTTTCAAAAACATGGAAACCTATACTAGCTGAGTGGCCTTTATTAGCAAGGAAATCTGCCACTTTGTTGCCTTCTATATAGATGTGGGAAATTCTGACTTCCCAGTTCTGCTGAAGCAATCCCTGAAACTGAAGAACCAGATTATGGTACCTGTGCTCTGTCTAATCCTGTGAGGTAAGGATGTTGATGGCAGTAGTAGAATACAATTGGAGGAGGATTTTCCTGTACCCATTCTTCCACGCCATTTGCAAGCCTCGAATGGCCGCCATAATCTCCGCTCGGGTAATCGTACATACACCGAGGTTTTCCACAAAGGCTCCCATACATTTCCCCGTCCAGTCCCGGATAATGCCACCCCCTGCTGCTTCCGATCTTGGCTGCTTCACTGAACCGTCAGTATTGACACAAATCCAATCCTGTGGTAGCGGACTCCAAGCGAGCCGTTGTGCAGACTTCCTGGTTGCTTCTTTGTGGGAAGCTGTGTCATTTTCCTGGGCTTGCCTGATAGTTGACGTCCAGCATCCAATACGTTGCGCCAAGACCTGATCCTCCTGGGTCAGGTTGTGAAAGACCTTCTCATTTCGTCTTTTCCAAAGATACCAAGCTGCCACTCCGAATAGAAGCCCTTCCTGATCTCTCTTGAGATGTTCATCAAGCCAAGCTGCAAACCCAAGGCCGTAAGTTAATACTGTATCCTGAATACCCAGCCTATGTCATACCTGTATTGAACTCGGACAATGGCGCATAATGTGTTTAGTAGTTTCCGGTCCGTTTCTGCACATCGGGCACGTATCATCCGTCATCAGTTCCCTCTTCTTGCCCTGTGCATTCGTCATTAGCTTGTCATGGAAAACCAACCACAAGAAATGTTTAATGCGGTTCGGGCCCGCCCATTTCCAGAGTCGCTTCCAGTGGTGGTGATCGTTCGCCTCCTCCGTCTCCCACTCCTCGTCGCTCAGCCACTCTACTGCCACGGAATAAGCTGAACGCAGCTTGAACTTTCCGTCTGGCTCCATACCCCACGCAGTAATGTCTTCGCCCAATCTCGGCCTGGGAGGGTCTGTACCTGCAATCAAGGCAACCAAATTCTGAGTCAGGTGAGGCACAAATTCCTCCCACTTCCACTCACCTTCAATGGTGACCATCTCAGCAACGCTGGCATTCCAGTTGATTCCCTCGCCATTGCCTATGATATGCTCACTCAGGATAGTTCCCTCGGCAAGCCAAGGATCCATCCAAAACTGGACATTGTGCCCTTCCCGAATGTCCCACACAACCCGCTGTTTAAGGATAGGCCAAGTGTCAACAATTCCTTTCCAAAGCCTCGAGAAGTTACTTTTCTTCATAACCAGCGCCCCTGCCTCGTTGACTTTGAAGTACTTTCCTTGCAGGACACAGATCCAAAGCTCCTCCGACTTGTTCAGGAAAGCCCAGCCAGCTTCATAATGTAGGATAAATTGAGAGCTCTAGCAGATCGCATGCCCAGGCCGCCAAGCTCCTTTGGTTTGCATATGGTTTCCTAATTGACCAAATGAGTCTTGGAGACACTGTCTTCTGCACCCCAGATAAAAACTCTCACTTTCCTATCAATGGTGTCGCAAACAGAGACGGGAAGAACCGCCGTTTTCATAACATAGTTCGAAAGGGCATTAAGAACCGAAGTCGCCAAGGTACTCTCCCTGCCAGAGAGAGACTCCTCCCCTTCCATCCTGAGAGCCGCTGATCAATCTTCTCCAAAATGAACTTGTAGGTATCTTTGGAGACTCTGCCGTGGATGACCGGAACACCCAAGTAGCGCCCCAGGTTGTTGGTTTGCTTAATCCCCAGCATGTCGCTTATACGTTTCTTCAAGTTCTCCCTGGTGTTTTTCGAGAAGAAGACACAAGACTTGTCTTTGCTACTTGCTCCCCCGAGGCCTCATAAAATCGGTTTAGACAGGTTAGGACCTCTTCTCCTTACTTTGGATCAGCCTCCGCAAATAACACCAAATCATCTGCAAAGAATAAGTGAGTCAGTGCAGGGCCATTCTTAGACAGCATGATAGGTCTCCAAGCTTTCCTATCAACTGAGTCCTTGATGCAGTGATTTAGTCTTTCAATACATAAAGTAAAGAGATAAGGAGAAAGAGAACATCCCTGCCGAAGACCCTAGTAGGTTGGAAAGGTTTGGTGCAGCCACCATTCCAAAGCACCTGAAATCGAACAGTCGTCACACATGCCATAACTAGTTGGACGAAATCATCAGGGAGACCGGCCGCCTGCAAGGTTGATTCTAGGAACTCTTAAGTCCAGGCCATTAAAAACACGAGCCCCTTACATGATGGGTTGACTCAGCCATCCCCCCCTTTTTAATTATGACATGAATTCAACCCCTTTGGAACCATTTTAATAAGTCAAATTCTTTTTTCTCATTTTTTATAGGATCATATACCATTGGTTGATCTCAAAATTTATAAAATGTTGCATGATAATTATGTATTGATTATAATTTATACAATATTATTCGTTGCGTTATATTTTGAGCAAAAATAAAATAGTCATTCAAAACGTATGTTTGCTGCAATCTTATGACTTACATATTGAATGTTCTCGAGATATTTACAAAAGCTTTTATAGTGAAAATTGACCTCTTGCAAATTTTTTTCTCTCATTAACTTATGTGTAAGAAATCTATTAATCTGCCAATTTTATTTGAATCATTTTTCAATCGTCTTCGGCAAATGTTTACTTTCTGGATTATTTACAACTGGTCATCTCGACGAGTTCAACTAGACATCTCCATTACTACTATTATAATATGTAAATTCATTTATATTGTTAATCTTCATTTACTTTATTTATTGTCTTCTTACTTTTTTTCAATATCATGAAATAACAGTTGTAAGATGGCAAACAAATTTTACTGCTACAAAAATATATAAAAATAGATGTAATCTTTCAATTTTAGTGTTAATGGATGATCTTTGTTATCTCATATTTTGTCATATACACGTCATACCACCATGATAAGACTGCATAATATAATTTCTCCACTATCCTGCCACGATGGTAGAACTGAAATGGTAATATCATTAATCTGACATTGTGTAAAATGGTATATAAATTTCTATATTAAAAAATATCAAGTTTAATGTTATTCGGCTTTTTTACACAATATTTACGAAATAAATATATGAGAGATTGAAGTCGCCAATATAATAAACGGGGTTAGGTATATGGGTATATAATTTCTATATGACATGCACAACTTTTGGGTCATCAACCTCGTCATTTCCATCCTATTAAGACCCTCCACTCTTCTTCTCAACTCTCATCAAACATTTAATTTCTCTTGCAACCTCCCCGGCATATGACACCCTCTGTTTTTGTCGGCAAATTATAAATAAAAATATCCCTCTCCAGTCCAGTCCTCCCCTCACCGCCTATAATTGTCCCTCTGAATTATATTCAACTTCCTCTTGTACTTCCGTTTGAATCAGTCCGCGAAGATGATAAAGAGCAAAAGGCCCAGTAATGGGTACGGTAAAGTAAAGCACGAGCCTATTATTAGCTCGACGGCGAAGGAAGACGAGGCCAACGTAGAGTGGGAGATGAGACCAGGCGGGATGTTGGTCCAGAAGCGGACGGAGAAGAACGAAGCTCCGGCACCCAATTTACGGGTTCGCATTGCTTACGGTGCCCTCCGCTACGAGATCTCCGTCAACTCTCAGGCCACTTTTGGTAAAGATCCGACTTTTCCTGTTTCGCTTTCCAGTTCTTACGCGCTTTCATTTTTCAATTTTTCTCGCCCCTTTAGTTCAAATTTTTTTTTTTATCCTTCAATTTTACGTGGAAAGCCGTTGGCCGCGTACATATTGTTAATAAAATGTAGCTTGACCCAATCAAGTTGAGGTTTTTTTTTTACTAGATGAAAAACAGGGGAGGGGGTTAAAAGTTAACAGTAATTTCGCTGACTAAGGAATACTCTGTTTCCGGCGACGAAAACAGGGGACCTGAAGAAGCTGGTGACGGCGGAGACGGGGCTAGAGCCAGGGGAGCAGCGGGTTGCGTTCAGAGGGAAGGAGAGGCAAAACGGTGAGTATCTAGACATTTGCGGCGTCAGAGACCGGTCGAAAGTGGTGGTGACGGAGGACCCGGCCAGCATCGAGCGCCGGTACATCCAGATGCGCAAATCCGCCGCCGTCCACAAATCGCTCCGCGCCATCTCCGGCATTTCAATGGAGATCGACAAGCTCGCTGACCAAGTCGGCGCGATGGAGATATCGATATCGAGCGGGAGCAGAGTGCCGGAAGTTCAGATCACGACGCTGATTGAGGTGCTGATGAGGCAGGCGGTTAAGCTGGACGCCATGGCTGCAGAAGGGGAGGCTTCTTCCCAGAAAATCATTCAGGTAATTGATGGTAATTTTGATTCTTTCGGTTGGGTAAGTTGGATCATTGGTTTATGTGGGTAGTTTTGGGTTTTATGTGTGTTGTAGAGCAAGCGAGTGCAGAAATGCGTGGAGGCGCTGGACATGGTGAAGATGTCGAATGGGAAGGTGGAGAAGCCGCCGGCGCTGGCGCCGGTGGTTGTAGCAAAGACCAAATGGGAGATTTTCGATCCTCCTGATTTGAACCCTCCTCCGCCGGCTGCATCATCTTGGGAATTATTCGATTGATCATATATGATATAAATCTCTACCTCCCTGGTCATTTGTAATCTAATCATGGGCCTGGATCAGCCTGAATTGCATTTGGATTGAGTTATATGTATTAATCCATGCATATGAATTCAGCAATTAACTTCAAATGTGTATGAATTGATAGTTTCATTAGTCACGAGCCAATTCACTTGCCTTTGAAGTTCAATCCAATGGACTGGTAGGTTAATGTGTAATGGATTTTTGTGGAAGAACAATTTAGTAATATATTCCACATTTTCAGTATGTTGATTTAGGACCTAAAGTTTTTTTTAGTATGATGATTAAATATATGAACTATTAACACTAGAAGGGGTTTCTTTCAATTTTTTGTTTTTTTTTTTAATAAATTACTTTGAAACCACATTGGAACCACCTCAGCATCGTTGCTGACTTACGCACAGAAAAATTATTTGACTGTCAATTTTGAAGCTCAATTATAAACACGGGAGTAAAAGTTGAGATCAAAATAGGAGGATCTATATTCGAATACCACTAGTGGTGAATATGAAAATCACAAGTTCAAATTCTTAAAAAACACTTAACTACAAAAAGTAAATCTATCGCAGAGGTGTAATTTAAGGAGAATTATTCAACGAAAAAAAAAATTTAAGGAGAATTCCAAACGAAGCAAAATTGGTTGGTTTAAAGAGAACTAGATAGATGAAATGTCATTTACAATGTGTTTTGGTTGCTCCAAATACCAAGGAAACAAATATAGAGGAATGAGTTCAATCAGCATGGAAATTACCAAAGCTGGTATAACGTGCAATGCAAAGATTTATCAAACTCTGATTTTATGGTGGCAATGTGACTTTGTATGAAATACCTTTCAGCGACGTTAGAATGACAAACACATTGCGAACGAGGATGCAGATTAATGGCAATGTGCGTTATTTGTTCGAGATATGAGAAATCTTGGTTCTATTTGTGGTAGTAGTGTGCATCATTTGGTAGCATTCCTGTCAGGGAGGCCCTTGTATTCATGGGGATCATGGTCTCTGTGCCTAGAACATCAAATGCCATCACAGTCTTATAACAGGTTGTGTTAGGCCTGTAACCCCAGATTTAATCTGGCTGCGGTGTCACTCAAATAGCGATTGTGGATAAGAGTTTTTCGTCATAACAAAAAGAAGGATGTTGTTAGAAACAAGGTTTCTAACGTGTTCGAGATTGGGGAATGTTAGCTAGATCAACTGGGAATTGACCTAGCTAGGAATTTGGGATTGGGAATTTTAGAACAAAGGGGAAGGGGGAAAAGCTTGCTGCTGCCGCAGCTTTTGAGAGAGGAGAGGGAGAAGACGCAGGAGATTAGGTTTTAGGTTTTTGTTATGTAATTGCTTAATGAAAATAATACCACTAGTACATATTATATAATCCGCATAATCTCTATCTCCTACCCAACTAATAAAACATAACAATCGACTCCCTGTTTATTTCCCCAATACCCCAAATAATTTCCCAATTATAATAAACCGACAATAATACGAAATAACCAAAAACTGCAAATAATGTGTTTCCAACAGATGTACACATTGGTTACGCTACTAATATGGAGAAACAAAATGAATAACACTTTTTAGGATACGATCACTACTAACGTAGTTTAGTATACCATACATCCGCAAAAATGTCTTAGTATCTTTCACGAGATAAGCAAGGCAAAATAGAATGAAGAACAGTCTTTAGTTACAAATCGGAATATGATAGATTACTAGTATATCCCCGCTTTCTACTGCTTCACGTGTTAGCGAGTATATGATATTTTAAAGATTAACATTTTGAATGTTAACCGAAGAGTGAAAGAATATTTCATTGTTTGGGATTACTACGATCTATACATAATACTAGCCCTGCCAGTCGAGTTGTAAGACTCATGGGTTTGGATTCAATGCATACATCATCAGCTCGAACCGATTCCTCTTCTAATCAACAACTCCAACCCCGCCTAGTTAGAAATTCACTGTACAATCATATGGAGTTGCTCAATGTCTCTGGTAGGATGGAAATGCATCATTGGAGGCAATCAAGGAAACCAATTGAAATATTTTAGACTGAAACTCTGTCACCAAGATCAGCTAAATCAATCACAGTCACTCATAACAAGCTCTTATCTCCAATTATGTGTCTTGGATTCATCTTGTTGAGGCCCTTCAATCCTCATGATACACAGGGTTTCTACCCGGTATCAGCTTCAGGCAGCTGCAACTGTGATGAGAGTTTTCACGCTGGGGCAGCAAACAATGCTCCAGAGATACAAATTTCCGCAGGCGACCTGGTGTGGATTGTAGAGGATAAATTGGACTACCTCATCAAATACTTCAACACCACAAGTGTCAATGAAGCCACCACGCTTGAACCCCATGCCCTAGTGGACGTCATCAATATGGCGAATAGTCTCTACTGTATTCTCAACAACGAAATTAAGGTAGTCGCACATTCTATAGAGCAAATGGTGCGTGCTTGAAGGTATATTTCAGCGCGGCCTATCAACAATCTAAGAGGAATGATGACGCGCTTCAAAAAGATTGTTGTTCGACTCAATGATGCTGCTGATGAATTTGGCGACCACGTTCTTATTGATGATTGTAGACACATAAAAAGAGGCGGCGAGCAGATTGTACAACTAATTGATCAAAAAGTCGTCCATTTAAAATCACATATATCAAACTCATCGAATAAAAAAGGACCAAATAAAAAATCTTAGATCTAGCAGTTGCATGGAGTTTTTTGACTCTTGCTATACGAAACCGGAATATAATGTGAAAAGTATAGAATAAAATAAAAACATTAACCAAAAATCTTAAAACTTTAAAAATCAATGAAAATTTTTAAAATAATTATTATAGCGATTTGCACCGCTCATCAATGAAATTGGACTTTGCGCACAAATAAAATATTTATTCTAGCATTTTGCACTCGTTGACCAATAAGTCTACAAATCAGTTGGAAATAATATAGATACAAAATTGAGTAAAAAGGATATGTTCGATTTGGAAATTGATAACTGTTGATTAGAAATTTTATGAATTTTTTGCATCTTAAAAAAGTAAAAAAATTTCGAGTATTCATATTTTTCACACAACAAATAAAAAGGTAAACTCAATAATTAACCCTTAACTATCGAATGATATATACATAGAAAAATATAAAGATACATAGAGAATATAAAAAATCCACAAAAGTATAGGAGAAAGACGAAAGAAGGCTTCATTGGTTTTGCTACCAATTTCATCCTTTTCGATGGGGAATGAACAATTTTTCCGTTGTCAGCATATTCGAGCTCGAGCAAATAGACGAATAAGGATACAAAATCATATATGAACAGAGACGACAGAAAAAAGACCAAAGAAATAAAATAAAAGAAAATAGGAAAAATACAATATTAGCATATGAGACTCAAAGAAGTAAATGAAAATAATGTGAAATATCTTAAAAGAAATAAAAGAAGAATGGACCAATAAAATGTTAACACATGGGTAAACGAATACAAAATATGTGGCCATTATTTTTTATTAGAAAATTGAAACTTAGATAATACAATTCATCAATATTGTGAATAGATAAATGAGCCAAACTCTCATTAAAACACTATAATTCTGAGCTATGGGAATAAAATGGATTGTCTCAAATCATTAAATTGGGCTTAGTTCAAAAAATAATTAGTCTAGCAGTTTGCACTTGTTGATAAATGAAATTGGACTTTGCGCACAAACAAAATATTTAATATAGCAATTTGCACTCGTTGACCAATAAGTCTACAGATAAGCAGGGAATAATATAGATACTATCGAGTAAAAGAAATATGATCGATTTGGAATTCACATTACTAATATTTAATTTGCTCTAGATCGTACTAATTAAGCAAACTTTGTTGAGGTCTTAAGTTAGATGCTAAGAATTTTTTCTTTTAGATTTTGAGTTATTAATTGTTGAGGATTATAAATCAAAGTTTTCAAAATGACTTAAGTAAGATGGTTGACGAACTTTGACTTCATATCATTAGATGAGACATGAGATACATTGAAAAATGACACAAGAAAAAAGTTAGAGAAATCTTTGTGAAGGATGTATGTTAAATATTATGTTTCATCAACCACTGACCTGAACATTGATCAAATAAATTTTGATTATTTTCATTTAATATTTGAATGTCTTGGCAGAGCAAACTAAATCCGGCGATTGAGGCAATAAACAACAATAGTGTGTTAGTTGAGATATCTAAATCAAACACATCTATATTTACAAACGCCTAGATCGATGTATTCAGTTACAATGAAGAATCTTTAATAAGGATGAGTCCAGTAAGTAGGGATGGCAATGAGTCGGGTCGGGGACAGATAGTGCATATCCGTTACCCTACCCAAAGTAGTTCGGGTTTTGCCCATAACCATACCTACATACGAAACGGGTAGAAAATCCAAACTGTGCTCATACCCGTTCGGGTTTCGGGTATCCACGGTTATTAATGGGTAATCGTTTCTCTTTATAACTCCAACCAATATGTTAATATTCATACGTATTCTCAAGTTACGTAAGAAGAAAAGTATGACAATAATTCACTAGAATGTGGAAAATTAATTAAATCAACACAATTTCACAAAAAATATTATATTTATATGCTAAATATAAAATATGTAAGAGAAAAGTATTGATTATTTCTAGACAAAATACATTTGCATGTGTGTAATCGAGCGGGTTCGGGTTGGATAGTGAGAAAACCATACCCACCCATTACCCGCAATACTAAAAGTCCTTCGGGTTCGGGTTTTACCCTACCCGATTAGGCCGAATTCGGGCAGATATCCATAGTTACAAATATTTTTGCTATCCCTATCAGTAAGACAATTGTTAAATAGTTTGGTTATATTGTTGTGAGCTTATGATTCCATATCAAAATTTTGTTGTAACAAAAACTTTTCTGATATCTAAGTATCAAAATAAAAATATTTATTTAGTTGGTAAGAGAAGCAATTTGTATTTACCTCGAGTTACCCTAGTCAAAAATTTGTTTTCATATTCCATTAATGTGTGGAGTTCAATGATATTTATTAGGGTTGAAAGTACATTAAACTCTTTGTATGTTTATATGTTAACAATAAATGTGCTTAGAATAGGGTAAATTGCAAGTTTGACTTGGATCAATAAAATTGTTAATATTTAATTACATTCATGCAGCGCAACTACCTGTATGCTGTATCAGAACTCAGAAGCCAAAACTGGTACCGTCCGTGCCGCCGAGTTGGACTCTGCATTTAACTAACTCGTGGACCACCTGGTACCGTCTGGGCCTAACTCGGAGCGGGTACTTTTAAACTCCGACCCGGTACCCGGAGCAAGCGGCGCCAAAACTGTTCTGAAAAATGAAAAACTTATGGAGGCAAATTTGAAAATCCAAAAAAACTGCGGCGAAGGAATAGCGCGCCCAATCCGTTAACTTCTCCGAGAAGATTTCATTCACTTCATATTTCCCAAAATCCCTTTCACGGTTTCACCGCCTGCAGAGTAATTATCCCGTCCGCCCAGCCGACTTCTCTCATTCGCCTTCCCTCTCAACCACTCCGTAGCATTTCGAGTCGATTCGTCGGAGAAGAAGAAGAAGAAGAAGAAGAAAACGATGGCAGATCCAAGCCACCTGGAGAAGATGGGTAGAGAGCTCAAGTGCCCTATCTGGTAAGCTCTCCAACCTCTTCTCTCATCTTGCAACCGTCGCATTCGCTAGCCAGGTTCTGATTTCCATTTTCTTTCTCGTACCGCAGCTTGGGATTGTTGAATTCGGCGGTATCGCTCTCCTGCAATCATGTGTTCTGCAAGTAAGAATCCCACCCGTATAGCTGTTTCGTTTTCTGAGAATTTTCTCATTCGAGGGTTTGTAGCTTCGGTTTCTGATTCTTCGGATGCTGCTTGACATTTTCAGCTCCTGTATTTCGAAATCGTTGAAGTCCCATTCCAATTGCCCGGTCTGCACACTGCCGTATCGGCGGAGAGGTAATGATGTGTACTCTCTTGCTCCATTTCTGAGATTGCGGGAACTGCCGTTTCCCGCTTACTCAATTGTTATATTTCTGATTTTTCGATTGTTGCCACAGAGATCCGTCCTGCTGCACATATGGATAACTTAGTGAGCATATACAGAAGCATGGAAACTGCTTCTGGGTTCAATATACTTGTGACTCAGACAGCTCCAACAGCCAAATCTCCAGGTAAATCAACAATGCATACCATCAGATTAGGTTTAAGCTCGAATTCCTACATGTATAACCTAATCATAGGAATTAGAAAGGTGGGTCTTTCCCCTTGGGTTGAATTTTAGTTTGTTTATCGACATATTTGTTTCTCGAAACCATATATTCACCCACTCTTGCGTTCATGTCAATAGATAAAGTAAAGCAATCTGGAGATGACACAATTAGTGGTACAGAAGATACTCATGGTGTTGCTGAGGAGGAAAAAGTTGGGAACCGAAACCTTAAAAGAGGGAAAGGATCAAAGAAGAGAAGTACAAGAAAGACTAAGGATGTTTCTGGTCCTGCAACTGCAAAGCCTTCCTTCCCAACCAAGAAGAGAGTTCAGGTGCCACAGTATCCTCTTTCTGAAACCCCGATCAGGGGTCAGAAAGTGGAAATTGGATTGAGCGATTTCGTTAATCATGTTGTTAAGAGCAATCCAGTGGTCTCAGATGAGAAAGCTGCTACCGATGAAAGTGGGGAGCTGGTGCTTTCACCTCTCTTCTGGTTGAGGGATGAAAGCCCTGAGAGGTCGAGTACACCTGTTGAAGATGATGAATTTCTCAGTTTAACGCCTCTCAGTACTCCGCAGTTTAGTGACATGAAGGATTCAAGTGACAGTGAATCCATAAGTTTGTCGCCAACTGTAAGTTGAAGTTTCTTCATGTTTCCCCAAAGCTTAAGCTGTGGTGAGTTTGTTAACTAATAGATCTTCTTCTTCTTCTTATGCAATTGAAATTGCTGCAGGGAAAAGTAGCTCGTAGTTCAGATTTTGCTGATGATTCTGAAAGTGAGCTGTTTAGATGTACACAAAAACCTAGCCCAGCTGATACTTTCTCGACTCCCCTTGAGATGCAGGTAATGATGTCATTATTGCTGTTTCTTCCTTGCGTACTTGATAACTACTTTGTCTTGCTATTTGATTTTTTTATTAAATATTTTGCTGATAGGTCAGTTGTGTGCACACATGCTCTTACTAAACATTCAAGTACTATTGCAGGGTGAGTACACTGACAAAGTTGATCCGTCTTTCAAAGGAGCAAATAACGCTCTGAAGACTACATCCTGTACCGGAGACGACAATAACTGTATCACAACAGTCAATAGAAAACCCACTAAGAGACTTGGGCGTGCTTCTGGTGGGATTTTGAGAAGATGTAATGAAATGAATGGTGGCAGGACTTTGAATAAGCTTGGTGCTCCAACTATGGAATCCGGCAAGCTTGGTCGAAGAAAAGTATGTGGTAGAAAGAATATTTCCACAAGTTTGGAAAGGCTCGAGAAGACTAATACGGGTACTTCTCCAGTTGAGTCAGAACTTGGAAGTAGTCCTACCGTTGCAGAAGAAGCTATCAGCCTAGCTGATGATGATCTGGTGGATGGATGGGGTACTTCAATTAGTCAAACCCAAGTTCGTGATAGAAATCATCAATCCCAGAAAACTAGAAAAGTACTTAGTGAGAGGTTTTGCCAATCAGATTACTCTACAAGGTTGAAAAAGCAGAAGCTGGAGTCTGAAGAAATTAGCATGCCAGTTGAAGTTTGTGAAAACAGCAACAAAATAGGTCAAGGGAAACCACGTCGTGTATCCTTTTCAACAGTGAACATAATTGGCGAGACAAGTGTTGCAGATGTGAACAAGAAATTTGCTGAACAAGGTAAGCATTGTGGTCATCTCTAACTGCTAGCCGTTATTTGGGGTTTTTGAAACTAGTAAAACATAATAGTTCGTTACTCATTTGACAGGTAAAAGGTCCGTTAATCAGGAGGATCATACCAAGATATCTGAAAGGGACACACAATTCCTTGAAGGGGTTCAAGATAGTCATAGAGGCAGAAAGAGGAAAACAAGTGTGCCAGAACTGAGAGATGGTACTATTTCTGGTACTCAAGAAAATGTAAAGCGGTCTGGTGAGGCAGTGATGGATAAATTGGCCGTTTCATTTATTGAACTCCAATGGTCCCACGACCTAGGAAAGAGAACTGGGAAAATGTTGAGGAAGGAGATCTGCAAAACTGATTGCCCTGTAAAGTTGAAGAAACTGACCAAGGATTGTAATGAAGTCAAACAGGCAACTCCAGAGGGTACAGAGAGGAGGGAAATTCAGGAAGAAAAACATCCTACAGTACCATCTGGCGAAGTTCATGCATTTAATGAAAAAAGTGTTTCTGATGTGAACAAGAAAACGAGTAAACATGGTAAGCAACTCTCAAATTTTGTCTGTGAAAGTCTACTATCTTTGGATTGGAAACTAAGAAAAATAATATATTCTTACTAGTGATAGGTGGAACACAATGCAACAAACTGGTTCAAGACAACTGCAGGGGCAGTTTTATTAAACAGGAAAGCCTACAATGTGCTTTCTGTCATTCTCCAAAAGTCTCAGAGGTACCATTTACTTGTTTCTGCAATTTCAGATTTTTGTCCTTGGTAACTGCTAGTATGAACCTTCATTGCAACTTTACTTAAACGTGCAAAATCGATGCTCCAGGCTTCAGGGGAGATTGTTCATTATTTCAATGGTAAGCCTGTAGCTGCAGATCAAGTTGGTCAGTCCAAGGTCATACATTGCCATAAAAGTTGTGCAGAATGGTTAGTATTCTCAGATGATTAGTTTTGCTTTCTCCTGAAAACGGACTCATCAAATGGTTAATCTTGAAAACGTACTCATTGTGTAGGGCACCTAATGTCTATTTTGAGGACGATGTAGCAGTTAATCTTGAAGCTGAATTAGCTAGAAGTAGAAGAATAAAATGCAGTTGTTGTGACCTCAAGGGTGCTGCTCTTGGGTGTTATGAGAAAAGTTGTCGCAAGAGTTTCCATGTCACTTGTGCCAAGTTGATCCCCGAATGTCGGTGGGATACTGTAAGTATGAATCCTACGAGGGCAGTTCTTGCCTTCTGACTCCAGGTTAGTTCATTCGAAGTTTAACTGTTCTCTCTTTCACAGGATAACTTTGTCATGCTGTGTCCTATTCATTATTCTGCTAAGTTGCCCAATGAAGAGCAAGGTTCTCAGTCGAGAAATACAGATCACTGCCGTGAAAGGTACCCTAATTTCCCACTTGTATTTTCACTGCTTGCTTTATTTTTGTGGTCATAACCAGCTATTTGTTGTTTTATTTTCAGACCAAAATCAACCAAGTGCAAACACGTTTCTGATGGGGGTTTCAGTAGATCTCGCAGTTCTGATTCGTGCTTCATACCTGACAAGTTGGTCCTTTGCTGCTCAGCTCTCACAGATGCGGAGAGGGTAAGGGCACTCTACACCATTCATTCCCTGCCTTCAGAATATTGCCATTCAGAGATCACAAATGTGAACTCATCGGTTGCTTGCTACAGAAAATTGTATCAGAGTTTGAGAGAACATCTGGAGCCAAAATTCTGAAGAAATGGGATCCCAGCGTTACCCACGTCATTGCTTCATTGGATGAAAACAGAGCATGCAAAAGAACTGTCAAAACCTTAATGGGCATTTTGTTGGGGAAGTGGATCCTCAACATTGACTGTACGTCGCATTTCCCCCCTACAGGACTTATGAGTTCTCTGACAAACGTATATGGTACTAACCAACCAACCTCGTTATGTGTTTGGTTTTGAACAGGGATCAAGGCCTGCATGACTGCCAAGAAAATTGTTGAGGAGGAGCAATACGAAATCAACGTCGACATTCATGGCATCAAGGATGGTCCTCGAATTGGAAGACTAAGAATTCTTAACAAGGTCTAGTTTCTTTCTAGTTAATCGTCAATCTACAGCATAGCAGTCGGCAGGCTTATGCTTAATTTTGTATGTTTCGTCAACCTGATCCTCTTTATGTCTACTATTTTGCGTGCAGCAACCAAAGATTCTTGATGGTTTCAAGTTCTACTTCATGGGAGACTTCATACCCTCTTACAAGGGATATCTACAAGACATAATCACTGTCGCTGGAGGCACCATATTGCACAGAAAGCCAGTCCGTGAATTCTCAGAAACCACTTCACCTTCTTCAACCTTGGTCATCTACAACTTGGAGCTCCCTGACAAAGGTAACTCGAGGAAGAAAGATTCCATTCTTACCGAGAGGCGAATGGATGCAAAGGCGCTGGCTGACTCCACAGGTGCCATAGCAGTGAGCAACTTATGGGTTTTGAACTCCATTGCCGCCAGCCAGCTTCAACCATTTCCCTGACCAACATTATCTGAGTTTTAGAGTTTCTGAAACTTTAAATCATAGCTATTAGTTATTGTGGGATCTCAGCTATCTGTACAAAAATGAAAGAACTGTTTCATTCTGATTTTGGAACTGTGCAAAGCTTAATGTCTTATGTTACAGAGAGCCTGGAATGATACACAACTAAACTGTCTGAAACTAGGCCAATTACAGAAGCAAACCAAGAAGGATTGCACTCATGGGCGACCATGGTGGTGGGAAGAAGAAGAAGAAGGAGCTGGTTTACTCCCATGCTGGCCTCTCTTCTCCTCCTCTTTCAAGATCTTCACCTTGAACTGCACAAACATCTTCTCCAGGGCACGAATCTCCCCTTCAATATCCACCGGTTCATCCTCCCTGTTATCCAGCTTCTGTTTCAACCTCCGAATCCTCGCCAGACCCGCCGCCGTTTCCTCCTCCACCGCTGCTCGCAGCGCCGAGCACTCCTCCTTGGCTCCCTTGTACTTCCTCTTCAGAGCCCTGTAGCTGTCCAGCGACTTCAGCAGTTGGTCGGAGAGCTGCTCGTTCCGATCCAGCAGCACGGCGTTGCTGCTGTCGTTGTTCCCTGCCTGACATTCCCCTGTCAATCCGCCGGAGGCCTGGAGCTTGGACGTCAAGGTTTCGTTCTGAGCTTTGAGAAGGTTGACGAGCTCCTCCATCTCGCTGAGCTCGCTCACCCTCCTGGCCAGTTGGGAAACCATGATCTCCTTCTCTTTCCCCAAGCTCGAGCACAGCATCTCCAGGCTCTTCCTCGCCGCCTTGCACGAGCTCAGCTGTTTCTTCAGCTTCTCCTTGTCGTCGGTCATGGCTGCCGTCTCCGGCGCCTTCTTCTCGGCGGTGCCGGCGGCCCCTCCTCCTCCGCGATTCGGCCTGAGATCCGTGTTGCACCGCCGCAGCTGGGCAACCCTTTTCTTCGAATTGGACTGGGATCTCTCCAGCCGGGCTTTAATGTCGTCGAGGATGGTGATCATCCCGGCGACCCTCTGGGTTTTCCGGTCGTCGAACTCTCTGGCGCTCGCCTCATTGTGATCCCGAATAACTTTCAGAAGCAGCTTCACGTTTGCCGCGATCCCTGCCGGACAAAACCCAGAAGCCGATTACGGTGACATTCACAAATTCACAATCAAATTACGCAAAACGAAAGGATCGAAGCCTCTCACCTTCTAAGCTATAATCCTGAGAGGGTTGTTGGGGTTGGCTGATCGTCGAAGGAGGGTTCTGGTTAATAGCTACGGCGGCAGCATTCACCAATTCCGGCGACGAAAATGCCCGCAGCCGACTGTCCATTGAAATCGATTTCAGGGGGAAGAAAGGATGTTCGTTTCCTTAAGCTGCACGCATTAAACCAGAACGGAATGGGGAAGAGCAATGGAAAGGAAATGAGAAATCCGAATTAAAGATGGATTAATGTAATTTGTAACATTAATCGTCCTGGAAATGTTGAGAGAGAGATTGAAGGAAGAGAGGCTGCATCATTGGCGCACTCTCTCTCTCTGTGATTCGTTTCCTTCTTCCCCTTTTCCTTGGGTTTGTTTTTAGGGTTCCTGATCTCTTTTTCTTGTTTGTAGGTGTGTTTTAGGGTTAGTCTGTTTTTCCTTTTTAATTTTGCCGTTGGTTAGGTTGTTAATATTTAGGTGTCTTAGAAACGGTTGGTTATTAGCATATAACCTGCCCCGTGATTGTTGGCTGTTTCATTTGACTTTTTCATTGGATCATTTTCTTAAGAGTTATAAATTATAATCAACTAGCTTGTGCCCGGACCGGAAGAGTTTTTCTATCTTTAATCATATATTTTATATATCTAGTATTTTCTTCAATAAGTTAGATGTTCCAAGTTTTTTAAGTTAGAGTTGTAACTCATTCCTTTAGTATGAAATATTGGAGCTTTTATCCATATTCATATATTAAATACTTTACAATCATCTTTCAACTATTTGTGTGTTCTACATTTCTTATGTTTGGATTATAACTTATAACTCATTTTTCTAGTATCTAATTTTGGTTTAGTATAAACTCTCAATCTCAAACTTCTCGTACCTTATCATAGATGTTGGATGAAAATTTTCAACTAATAAAACAATGTATAGGCAAGGCTTGAGTCTCAATTGCAAGTTTCCAATTTATGAGACTCAAACTATTAATCAATAACTTCTTGCCTACAACAGGCTTCTGTATATTTTCACAAATTATATGTCACCTACTAAAATTTGCCATGTTAGCAGCATAGGTTTGAAGGAATATGTTAGGGTGATTACTACTTTATTAGTAGCTACGGTGGCTACTAATATCTATACAATTCATTTTTCTTATTTTTCCTTCTTTTTAAATTAACGATCAATATTGCTTTAAGGATAATCTGGAAAATGAAAAAAATAAAACATGTGATTATTACTATTTAAAACCTAATACTCTACCTCTCTCCCACCCAACCCACCGCCTCCCACCATCTATTCTTCTCGGCGGTGTCGCCATCCCTCCCAGTCCCCGCCCCTCTCCTCACCACCCACTCCACCGGCGGCACCCCTCCCATCCCATCCCATCCCCTCACCACCCCCACCCCCCCTCCATCCCTCCACCTCACCCACCCGTCGTTCCCCTCGGCCCTCACCATCCCATCTTATTGGCGTCGCCCGTTCCTGATGTGGAGGCGGAGCACATGACATTCATCTCTGGTGACAAGACCAGGTTGCCGGTGAAGAACACGATAGAGCAGGTGAGATGCGATGCACGGTGACTCCAGTGGCGGTGATTTGGAATATTGTGGTACTAGTTTGGTGTTTATTTTGATATTCATTTTATTTTGGTATTTGTTAGGTTTTTCCGTTTTGGTATTGGTTCGTTTTTAAAGTGGTGTTGGTTGAATTTTTTATTTATTTTGGTATTGCTTCAATTTTATTTTGGTATTGTTTTGGTTTGACTCTATTCGTATAGATACTGGTTTGATACTTTTTTATAGTGGTATTGGTTTGGGTGTATTTGTATTGGTATTAGTTGTCATGTACGTTTTTTTATAATGGTATTGATTTTCTAGACTAGTATGGATTTTTTGTATTGGTATTGATCTTTCTTGGATTGGTATTGATTTTGTCTAGATTGGTATTAATTTTTCGTATTGGTATTGAGTTTTTGTTAGGTAGTCGAAAAAAGTACAGATGGTTGAAGCGCAAGGATGAAAGGATTAGAGGAAGGCAAAGAGGCAGACTCAAATAGAGAGAGATATAAAGAGCGAAGAATATAGTTTTTGTAAAAAATTATTTCTCCACTGTAATTAATTCTATGCGGTTAACATAAATGCAAGTAATTTTTTTGATATTCAATACCAATCCATCCAAACAAATATATATATATATATATATATATATATATATATATATATATATATATATATATATATATATATATATATATATATGGTGCCTTCTACGGTACCCCGGGTGAAATCCGGGGTACCGCATACCTTGAGTATGAAAACGCTATCTAGACATCAAATTAGCAGGATTTTTTGGCATGATACTATACCCTAACCCTTAAGGAGTGAACCCTAGGTCCTAATTATCTAAATCATAAACTATAAACCCTAAGATGTGCATTAATTTTTTTGCCTATATTTGGATGAATCATAACCGTCGATTATTGTTTCTAATTAAATTGATCTTGGGGTGTAAGACTTAGAAAATTAAGACCTAGATTTTGATCTTTAAGGGTTAGAGTATAGTATCATGTCCGAAAAATCAGTCAATTCAAAGTTCTGGATAACGTTTTCTTACTCAATGTATGCGATACCCCGGATTTCACCCTGGGTACCGTAGAACTCCCCATATATATATATATATATATATATATATATATATATATATATATTAATACCACAACGTCAACACTACCAATAAACATATGCACCACTACCAAAACAATAAGCATCAGAATACCACAACGTCAACACTACCAAAACAATAAGCACCAGAATACCATTACTACTCTTAGTAACCACGGTGGCTACAATGACCAAGTTACCACCGTAACCGCTCCCTAGGTTTGAAATATGAAAGTTCATAAAGCGGCACACTAAACCTTTTATGTAAACCTCCATCTTTGATTTTAGCACTTAGCATAGGACACATAGTGGGTCGTTTGGAAGTTATGATTCTAGATGAATGATTTTTTGAATTTATGTATTCTGGAGAATCCATCGTTTTTTTGTTCCAAAACTTTATTCAATACATGCATTTGAGGTGGGCCCTCAAATCTCATATCACCCAACAATCACTCATTTTAAATCTCAACAAAAAGGTGAGATTCTTCCTTTGAGATTGTTGGCTTTAATTTGTTTCACTTTTAGCTCATAAAGTGATTTTTTCTTTTCTTTAAAATTTTTGAATGACTACACGAAACAAGACATTCTTCCAATCATCTAATTCTTACAATCTTTGTATTGACAATAGATGTATTCATCAAATACATATATTTGAAGAATCTCAACTTCCAAACGACCCCTAAGTAACATTGTTAGCTTTTGGCGTAAACACATAATTATTTCTCACATCCAAAGTTTAATATTAGAGCTAAGATTGTTAATATATGTCTAATACACATTAAAACAACTCATACCCCTAATTGAGAGTTATATTTATATGTAGTATGTATGGCCTTTGGATTTAGTTTTTTTTTTTATATAGAAATTAAGTGTCTTTTACTAAATATATTTCAAAAATCAAAGATTTCAATGTATTTAAAATATGTCTAATTGAATCCAGATAGTTACCATAAAACTAAATGTATTTCATTAAATCCAATTCTAAAACTAAGTATTTTCACCATAAAATAACTCCAGATCCAATATCATGCATGCACTCTAATATTACCGTTGGTTTTTAATCCGAAGTTATCCCACATACGATTACTGTGATGAGCTTTCCCTTCCCCTCACATACCCCCTTCAATCGTACGTGAAAAATAAGAAAATATCCATAAAATTAAATATCAACGTTTATGCGTTAACTCAAGTCAACATAATTCAATGAAAAAGGTGACATTTCCAAAAATTCGATTAGAACTCCAATAATAGATCGTCAAAACCTACCGCTTAAGACAAACTATGAAATGTCAAAATATACGTTTATATTTCATAATAGCTATTTTGTGAATCAAATTTTTTTTTAATTATCACTCTCCTTTTTTCTACCATAAACATATATGTCTATATCCAAGGAAATGAACAAAAGGGAAAGAGGAGAATACAATACTATACCTCCACGTTGGTTATTTAATTTCAAGATTGAGGGAGCAAAGTGAGAAGCAGGTCTTATTAACAACAAAGGGTTTCAAATCCCCTTTGATTTCAATCTTACCGTTGCTCCTTTACCTACTGAGGAAGAAGAATGAAGTTTAAATTACTCAGTGCGCAGCGTTTATGAGAAACGCTGTCGTTCTGCTCTACTTCTTTTCAGCTACGTTTGCTTTATTGCCAAATCTGTCTTTGTTTCCTTTTCAAGCAAACCAACAAAGTGTACCTGGTTTGCATTCTTGTTCTCTTCTGCAATCTCTGTAATATATAAACCAAATGTGAATCAATGAGAAACTCAGGCCTTAGGGTTTCAATTGTTGTTATGGTATCAGAGCCTCTGACCTAGCTTTACTACCGCCGTCGCCGCCATGGATCAAAATGCTCAGAATGCTGAGCAACAAGATCCACAACCACAACCACAAAATCAACCACCCCCTCACAATCAACCACAACCACAAAACCAACAGCAGCAAAACATTGTTTACCAGTTGGAAGATCCTTTCTTTTTACATGGCTCTGAGCAGCCTGGTCTTCTCTTGGTGGGTGAAAAACTCACAGCCCTCAACTATAACGATTGGAGCAGAGGAATGTATAATGCTCTTGTTGCCAAGACAAGTTTGGTTTCATCAATGGAGTCCTCACGGAGCCAGTAGGCAGATCCTCTTCATGGTGTCTGGGTTAGGAACAACATCATGATACTGAGTTGGATCCAGTAGGCAGGTGATTAAAAAATACGAAAGACAATCCTTTCTTGCAAGACAACAACAGATGCCTGGCAAAGTTTGCAGTCCAGATATGGATCTGGTGATATAATACGTGTTGCAGAGTTTGAAGAGGCACTCTCCTCTCTTCACCAAGGTAACCAGACTATCACTGAGTATTATGGCAATGTTATTACCTTAATTGATGAGCTAGACAACTATCAACCAATACTGCCATGTGATTGTACTCCCACAAGTCATTTAACCTGTCGAGCAATGAAGAAGGTTTTAGAATATCATGACACCAACTATGTTATCAAGTTCTTCATAGGTTTAAATGAAAACTATGATGGAGTTAGAGCACAAGTTCTGTTTGGTGAAGAGTTGCCAACTATGAATCTAGTGTTTCAAAGGCTTTTACGGCATGAAAGACAACTCTATGGCACCCAGAAAGGAAAAATGGTGGCCTCTGCCACCACTGAATCTATGGCTATGGTTGTTCAAGGTGGTAACAGGAGGTTCACTCCCTATTGCAAAAAGGAAGGTCATACTCAAGATATTTGCTACTATATTCATGGTTGGCCACCTGGTATGAACCAAAGAACTCTAGTTTCTCAACTTCGCATCCTTGAGTG